ATTTATAATGATCCAGGGCAGTATGCTTTGCCAGACTATTTACTTTTGAGAGACAGAGAGAGAGCACAAGCAGGGGAGGGGCAGAGAGAGAGAGGGAGACACAGAATTGGAAGCAGGCTCCAGGCCCCGAGCTGTCAGCACAGAGCCTGATGAGGGGCTCGATCCCACAGACCAGGAGATCATGATGTTTTATTTTGTTTTTTAAACAAAGAGAGAAAGTCTTGAAGGAAAGCCCTGGCGTTTCTACCTTGAATTTAATAGCATCATTTTATTTTTATTATATCTCATTTATGTGACTATTTTAGGCAAGTGATTTTAAGTTTCCGTATATACCTACTGATACAGACATTCCTTTCAAAATAAATTTACTTAACAAAAAGAAGTCGATTTAGAGAAAAACATTAAGCAAATTAACAGGCACTAGATGGAAAAACCATCAAGATGGTATGTAGATACTCAAGTTTATAAAACTACTTGAAAGCATTTGATGCCCTTCCGAACGTTAAAAATATTCTTTTGTGCGTGAGTAACCCAGACATGATGTGTACCATCCCCATGAGCCTAGGTTGAGAATGTGGGAAATAGATTTCCCAGATGAGGGCAGAGTGAGAGTAAGATAGACACTCTCTTCAAAATGAATAATAAAGGCCAGCAGTACTAGTCCGAATGGGCAGGATTAGGATGTGGTAACATCTTTGGGCAAACCGCAACAAAAATTCCTTTCTTCTTTACGTATTCAGTGAGCTTGAGTAGGGGCCTCTGCTCCTCACAGCCACTTAGCCGCAGCCTGACAGAGAGGCCCAACTCAACCACCCAACATGGGAAGCAGCTCATGATACCTACGTGCTTGCTCCTCCCTAATCCTTCTGCCCAGAAGTGACACCTACCACTTCTGCTCTTGTTTCATTTGTCAGAGCAAATCGACTGGCCACACTAATTTCAAAGGAGAGCAGGAAAGTACAATTTTACCCTGTGCCCAGAATGCGAGAGCCAGAAATATTTGGTGGAGAGCAGTAACGAGTAGAAAACCATCCAGCAAACAAACAGTTCTGCATCCATCCTCTAGATGGAGACATAGAGCTGAGCATCTGTTGAGATGTCAGCCTTAGAGGCTCACTTGTATTTTACAGTTCCCTCAGCCTCTTTGGTAGCTCCATTCTGTAGACAGAAAACCCTAAATTAAGTATGGCTATGGATGGATAAGGTAAAATATTTACCTTCATGCTGAACTGATTTGTTACCTAATAGATCCCAAGAGGCAATCCACTATTGATCTCAAGACTCCGTGTTGCTCAACTGCCAGCGACTCTGGTCGGCCACGTCATTTCTATAAATATTTACAGATCCAGGGCATGAATGTGGCTGAAGTATTTACAATGAACACAACTTGCATTTCTTTCAGGGTTTTGCCTCCAGGCTATTTTGGTTCAGCTTTCCTTCTCTGTCCCTGTGGTTTTGTAAAATGTCCTATGGCCATCTGTAATATCCATGGTCAGAGAATCCCTCCTTTCTGATCACCCCTGACCACTACCTTCAGCTTTCTTAACCCCCTTTGCATGCTACCACTGGATTCCTAGCACCTTCTTAACAGGATCTCTGCTCTGTGTTGCAAAAAAATATTGACAGACAAAGGCTCCATTCACTACCATCAGTGAGTTCAGAGCACTAATAGGCTCTATGGAGATTTATGCCACACTGAAATTTTCTCTCACCTGGGTTAATACCCACAGTGTAGCAACCTTAATTATGTTTTGCCCAATGATGGCATGTGCTTCAATTAAGTCACTAATATGTCTATAATGAGGGCATGTAATCCCTTAAACTTAGCCAATGCTTTATAATTTACAGAGCGCTCACATATGTATTATATTTATTCTCCATAGTCACTGAGATATTAGGTATTTATTATCTCAACTTAAAAACGTGGAGGCGGTTGGACAATTTTCTCAGGGCTAATCAGTTTGTCAATATTAATGTAGAATTAAAATCCAGAACTATAACCTCCTATCTTTCAATTATTCCCTGATGTTTCCCATAACTTACAATTATGGGACTCTTTCAATTATTCCCTGATGTTTCCCATAACTTACAAACATTAAGAAAACCTACAGATAATTTTGTAGTGTGCTTGACACACAATGTTACCTTGATTTCAGGTGTGCAGCATAGTGATTTGACACGTCTGTATGTTACGCTGTGCTTACCATCTGTCACCGTACAACACTGTTACAACACCCCTGTATTCCCAATGCTGTACCTTTCATCCCCGCGACTCAGTCTTTCCATAACTGGAAGCCTGTCTCCTGGTCCCCTTAACCCATTTTGCCCATCCCCCATTTCCTGCCCTCTGGCAACCACCATTTTGTTCTGTGTATTTGTGGGTCTATTTCTGCTCTTTTTTGTTTGTTTGTTTGTTTGGTTGGTTGGTTGGTTGGTTTTAAAGATTCCACATAAAAGTGAGATCATATGGTATTTGTCTTTCTTTGGCTGATTTCACCTAGCACAATACCTTCCGTGCTCATCCATGGTTGTCGCAAATAAAACCTACAAAAATTTGAGACTGATACTATCTATTTATTTTACAGCCTTCATATTTATTTTTGAGCTAAGGCCAGCACGCTTATGTGCTCTATAAAATAGGTACGACTATGATGTCTTTTTTTTTTTTTCTTTTAACCTTGACTCGTAGAGGGCTACAGGAAATAATATACATGTGCATTTAGGTGATTTCAAGCTCAGTAATTCAGTGCAACACATATTTATTGGGTATTGACTTCTACCAAGTGCTGGAGACATAATAGTGGAGACAGACATGGTTCTTGTTCTTATGAAGCTTCGAGGCTAATAGAGAAGGCAGTTATAATAGATGACAAAAAGAACAACAATAATAATGGATAACGTCTTTTCCTTTTAGTGTTATTTTTTGGCATAGTACCTTCTTCTTTTTTTATTGGTGTGGAAACAGAGGCACAGAAAGATTAAGTAATTTGTCATATGACACACAGTGAGGGTTCGGACTAAGATTGGGATCCACTTGCTCTTAAGTAGTAATTTACAGGTACTCCAGGGTGCATGTCAAGGAGAACACATAGAGATGACTTTACATAACAAGGGATCGTTGTACGGAAATCTGAAAAGCTCCAGCATCACAGAAAACCCCAGGACTTTCAAACCTGGGGCCTAGCACAGGCCTTCTCTGCTCTCCACCCACCTCTATTGCAGGACAATTTGGTTTGTGGCCACCCAGTGGCGCATCTCTTTCTGACACCACTTACCTTGTTCCTGCCAATCTATTATTGCCTTGGACTCACACACCAACCTCTTGCTCACTGTCTTTCTGCCTGGGCGCAGGATTCATTTTGGAGAAGACACAGAATAGAAGCCTCAGCAAGTGTATGGAGAAATTCCCTGAGGTTGTGTCTTTGAAGGGCTCTTCGGGGTTGATGGGTAAACACATGGACATTCACTTCTCTCCGAGAGCAGCCCTGAGTTATTGGCAATAGTCACTGTTTTATCCCCATTGTCCTGTCTCCATGGAATGAGGCTCATCTGTTCTGTTCTTCGATACCCAGAGCACATAGGAGATAGTCACTGCATACTTGTTGTATAAATGAAGCAAGTTCCATAATCACTAGAGACGTAGAATTTCGTTTTTAGCATAGTGCTCCACTGACAATAAGAAGGTTGACGTGGGTCCTGGAGAAATTAATCATCCAGGTAAGCAGATTCCAAATTTAGGAGACCCAGATTCAAGTGGAGAAAAGTGTCAAAAACAGAGAGGGACTGATTAAATTGAGAACACTAACACAAAGGTTTATCATGCTTAAATTTAGATCAGTGCCTGTATCACGAGGACTCACCCTAGATGAGTGACGTTACACTGAAGCCATCAAGAAGAAAACTATATTGGAGCTCCTGGGTGGTTCAGTCAGTTAAGCATCTGACTTAGGCTCAAGTCATGGTCTCATAGCTCGTGAGTTTGAGTCCCCTGTCGGGCTCTGTGCTGACAGCTCAGAGCCTGTAGCCTGCTTCGGATTCTGTGCCTTCCTCTCTCTCTGCTCTTCCCCTGCTCACACTGTGTCTCTCTCTCTCAAAAACAAATAAACATAAAAAAGTTTTTTTTAAGAGAAGAAAAATATATTATCACGACAAATGGGGATATACTGAACAAGTGGCAGGAGGTAAAAATAAGTCAGAGGGAATTCACTCTGAACAGTGGTCCTTGAGAGCATATGCTTTTGTCACAATTGTCTCTAGGATTTTCCTATTCCTGTACACTTGGCTTCCATATAAACAGCCCTGGGCTCACTACTGTTTAGAGAGAAGAGAGAGTAACTCATGACCAGAACTGTCTTCACCCACGTATAATTCACAATGAATCTTTAAATATTCAAAGAAGGACAGAAAATGGTATTAGTTGGTACCTTCTCTGGAATGTTAGGCACTTGGCATTTATCGGTTTTAATTAATATCGACATTATTAACTTTTCAGCAACTCAACGAGGTAGGTGGTGTATCCCTATTTCACTGATAAAGAGAGAGCAGCAGAGTATGTTTTCCTCTGCCCCACAGCAATTTTATGTGCTCAAATTTACACAGAGGAAGAGATCTAGACAAAGTCAGTCCCATCTTGACTCCAAAGCACAGAAATTGCCTCCCTTGTTGAAAAAGTATTAAATGCCCACCTTAAGTATATTTTATTAGTTACTTGCTTTTCCAGTTTCTGATTTTTACCCCCTTTGGTGTGTGCTTACTTATGTGAGCTGGTAGGAGAAATGACTTCCTGTGTGCACAGAGTGAAATTGGTACCCATGGCTCTTAGTCACAGTAACCGTGGAGAGTCTTAATTCTCAATGGGACCACTTACAATGGACTTGGTACCCACACTGGGTTTATTCCAAGTGAGGTGAAAGTGTTACCCTGGAATCTCTGGATTGCCCTTTCAGAGAAAATTGAATCCCACATGATTTTTTTACACACTCTGCTTTGCTGTTTTTCAGACTGCTGTCAGAGGATGTAGGCATGGACATCCCCCTGGAGGACGGAATGCTGAGTCCCAGTGCTGCAGACATGAGGCCTGGTGAGAGGGGCATCGCTTCATTTCCTTCGGCAGTATTCTGTATCCAAACATTGTCATATTCAGTGAGAGAACCATTTCCTAGGCCTCCTACTTGTGATTTCAGCGATAAAAGTGAAGAGAGAGAGAGAAAAAAACATATGTGTGAGGAGGGTGTTAGGCTCGATTTGGTTAATTGCAGGGTTGACTTGAATACTGATGCTTCCTCATGTGGGCCGCCTTTGCCCTCCTGGGCCACAGCTGGGGCGGCCAGGGCTTTCAGTGCCTGTAGTAAGTGGCTGCCCTATACCATAATACCAAATCCTAATGAGCATGTAGGCTCACCATGTTTGTACTTCACTGTCAGAATATCTACAATTAAAAACGTGATGTCAGGGAAGCTCAGTATCCTGATTGCTAAAGCAAACAGACAAAGCCCCTATATCCCATGGGTTTACAGCTCAAGGCATATCGAAAGAGAATTTTAAATTTCCAGCTGCATCCTACACTTTCTCTTGTAACTAAGGACACTCCTTTGCACCGTACCAGCTCCAGAATGTTGGCCCTGATGTTACTGGCCAAGCCTAGAATGGAACAAGAAACAGTAATTCTTTGCCTTTTTTTTTTTTTCTGTCCAAGTATTTAAAGTGCATTTTTCAAGATATGTCACACTAGTCATGTGACATAATTAGTTTTAAATGTTCTATCTAGGGTCCAGTAAGCCTACTAGCCACTGTATGTCTACACCACTCTTGAAGGTTCACAATGCACTTTGGATAATACAGGTATTAAGGCCATGGTTATCCTATATGATAGCGGTTAGCTACTCGTAGCTATTTAAGTTAATGAAAACTTAAGATACATCTGGTAAGTTCAGCTCTTCGATTGCACTAGGTCCATTTCAGGTGCTCAATAGCTGTATGGACCTTATCATCACAAAATTTGGGAGAATACTGCTCTGAGAATTCCTGTAATATAGAAACCAAATGGTTTTCAAACTTACTGGCCAATAGATAACTTCCTTCAAGTATAATACATAAACACATTACATGGAACACAGTTTGGGTGATGTTCTGTACAGAGAAAAAAATTTTAATGAAGAAACAGTGTCACCTTCCTTAAGATAAGACCAGAGTTCGAATTTTAGAATTGAGAGGTATACCAGATGGCCTTTCAAAATTTTTGTGATAGGGAATCCTAAAATCTCTATCTTTAGGCCATCTCTCTATTAGGCCATCTCTCTATTATTGTTGACTTGGGATTGACTTGTTTAAAATGACTTCTCTGGCTCTACTTCTGTTAAGGGAGAAACACATTGGCAGCAAGATGCATATCACAGTGAGAGGGTGGGAGCTACTTCCATGAGCCTTAACATACAAAGACCTATCACTTATGTTACAGGAGCCAATGTCAGACAGTATCGGCATAAAGGGTGGTGACCGCTTGAGCCAAGAATGCAATTTGGGAGTATACCTCAGTTTTATTAAAAAAAAAAAAAAAAAAAAGGAAGAAGAAGAAGGCCGGTCAAAGAAAGACAACTACAGATTATACCCAGAGTTGTCAGGAACTGAAGAGAAGTATCTGGGGAGTAACTATGAACATAATAGATGAGTAGATAAAGTTGATATCCTTCATTCCATAGGAGATGTCAAATGAACCTTTATGAGATCTATATAAGCTTAGCTGTTTTTCTCATGCATCATAAAAATTCAGTTCTACGTGATATCAGGGTCAAAGTCTCAAACCTGAACACGGTAGTTCTGAAAACTGGTTTTCTGCTCCTTTAGCAAGGACTCCACTTTTTATGTCTACGTGGCCAGGGCGTTTGGCTGGGACAAGCCAGTCCTGAGGCCTGCTGGTCAAGAAAGGGATCCAAATTGCATATAAGGATTTTTAGCAGGTGTGCCTTTGCTGAAGGGCCTTAAAAATGTTTTTCAGTGGGGCCCACACCCACTGTTGGCAGCCACGTATACAGTCTAGTCCTTGATGTTGCTATTTTTTTTCTTCTTTAGAACCTCCCAATTCTCTGGATCTTAATGACACCCATCCTCGCAGAATCAAGCTCACGGCTCCAAATATCAATCTTTCTCTGGACCAAAGTGAAGGGTCTATTCTCTCTGATGACAACCTGGACAGTCCTGATGAAATCGATATCAATGTGGATGAACTTGATACCCCTGATGAAGCAGATTCTTTTGAGTACACTGGGCATGGTAAGTTGCCAAGTTGTCAAGGCCAAAGTTATGTGAAAAGTGAAAGGGTACTTAAGTGGCACTAAGAACAAACCTCCCATTGGTTGCTGCTGCCTCCTTTCTGTGATTTCTAGAAGATCCTCTTTGCAGCTCAGGTCATAGGTGGCTGTGATTGAACAGTTTAGAGTATGATAGTACAGGTATGGTTCACAGAGGTCAGACATAGCCATTGTTCCTTTCTTAAATGCTTGTTATCGGCAGGCCTGGTGCTTGGCACTGGGGTTGTGAGAACATTATTACATGCTGTGTTATGAGAAAATTAGGGCTGGATTTGTAGAGAACGAATTTAATCTGGAAGATAAAATTTGAAGCAGAGAAATTAGAGCTTACTAGTTTCTTTGTACAAGTGCCCACTATCTGGAATGTTCTTCCTTGAAGTTCCTTCCATAGCTGGCTCCTTCTCTTTACTCAGATCTTAATCAGATGCCATCAGAGGCCTTCTCTGGCCTCTGTAATCAAAGGTGCTCCTGCCCGTTGCCCCCCCCCCCCCAGTCACTTTCTATCTCTCTACTTCTTTTTTTTAAACAATTTTTAATGTTTATTTATTTTTGAGAGAGAGAGAGACAGAGTGTGAGTAGGGGAGGGGCAGAGAGAGGGAGACACAAAATCCGAAAAAGGCTCCAGGCTCTGAGTTGTCAACACAGAGCCTGACTCGGAGCTCGAACTTTCACACTGTGAGATCGTGACCTGAGCTGAAGTTGGATACTTAACTGACGGAGCCATCCAAGTGCCTCAGTCCCTCTACTTATTTTATTTTCCATGTGTCAGTAATTGAAATCCTATCATTTAACTATTTGGTTGCATACTTACTGCCTTTCTCTTCCCACTAGAATGTCTGCTCTGCAAAGGCAGGGACTTTATTAGGTTTGTTGTTATAAGTCCGATAAAGCAGGAAGGAGTCAGGGGGCCACCCAGGGGTGCTAGGAGAAGAATAAAAAGGAAGAAAAGTCAAAAGTTGGTGGCTCAAACACTTGACATGCCTGATTGGAATATCGCTCTCATTTCGTTCCTTCTCTTGCTCAGTAAAACCGGCTTTGATAAGAAATATACAAACACAAAGCATTTGCTGTATAAAATGGCATCCCACAGTTTCTGCTTTGCAGGGTGGCATTCTCTGACTTTGTAATATTTGAAATTCAGAGTGAGAGTATCCTGGCCACAGCTGTTGCACTGTGAAAACTATTACGGCCAAAAAGGAAATAGCACAATGGAACGATGCCCTGACACTTACAGCCGTGCTAATTCCAGCAGTGTCATTCGTAAGAGAAGGTAATTAGGAAACTCCCCAAATCAGTTAAGCAATTCCACCAATGATCTCTGTGCCCTCAGGACTCCTACCAATATTCAGATTCAGACCCTGCCTTCACAAAAGATAAGGGTTAGTTAGAATAAATTAAAAAAAAAAAAAAACTGGCTAAGCTACTTGTACTATAGCTTTCGATGTGAACACAGAGATTTTATATTGCATTGTTACTGTGTTCTCGGATTGCTACAGTTATCTGGATGGTTGACTCTGTAAGTTGAAATACCCCAATAGAGGGTTAAAGGGCTTGAGTTCATGTTCTTTCCTAGCATGTCAGAGACTCTTCCGAGCTACTCTGCCCACCCCAGCGGCCCCCAGCCGCTCCAGTCCCATTCCTGCTGATAGATTCCCACGTGTAAGAGTCACGCCTTGACTCAGATCCCACAGAAGACAGCTGTGGCGTGAGCTGGCCCCTCCCTCTCTCCCCCTGTACCTCCCTGATGTCGTAGAGCTCCGTGTCACACCACATCTGAACCTTTTATTTTTATAAATAGCAAAACTGCCAAGCAAAGTGGTGGTGGCTGAAAAGCTGGTAATTAAAGCTGTCACTTGCTGACATCGTTCCTTTTATTCAGCCGACACGGTTTTGTTGAGAGAACCAGTTTACCAACCACCACCCTACATTTAGGTCTTAAAATCAAAGGACAGAATTTTAATGTAAGTTGACTTTTTAAAGCCCACTTTGATTTTCAAATGAAAGATGTATGTCCAGACCCTGTTTTAAACAAACAAGAACGTGAAGCATTTAAAACACAGAAAGCGTCTGAAGAGCTTTGTTTTATAAACACTCAGATGTAGATAAGAGACTGTATAAGAGACTGGGGCGCCTGGGTGGCTCAGTCGGTTAAGTGTCCGACTTCGGCTCAGGTCATGATCTCACGGTTTGTGGGTTCGAGCCCCACGTTGGGCTCTGTGCTGACAGCTCAGGGCCTGGAGCCTGCTTCGGATCCTGTGTCTCCCTCTCTCTCTCTGACCCTCCCCTGTTCACGCTGTCTCCCTCTCTCTCAGAAATAAATAAAACATTAAAAAATTAAAAAAAAAAAAAGAGAGAGACTGTATAAGAGAGATGAAAGGTTTAAGTCCCAAAGTACCGAGTAAATGCTTGAAAGCATTTTCAATGTTTGTGGGTCTCTTGCATGAGCATTTTGAACCAAATGTATCCGTTCTAAACACAATTGGAGTTTTGAAGACACAGTGTTTCAAAATGTTTGGTCAGTGATTCATCTAATGAACCCTTTCATGGTGCTTACTATGCACCAGGACTTTGCTGGGTGCTTTATAAATCTGAAGCATTTTAATCCTCAGCTCCGTGAATGTCCGTATATGAGTAGTAGGTATCATATGTGCTCCATATTAGGATAAGAACACAGAAGCACAGATTGGTTAAACAACTTACCTAGGGTCATATAGCTTGTGAATGTCAGAGCCAGCATTTGAACCCTGAGCTGTCATCCATGACTTCTGGACCTTACTCCTTCTGCATACTATGCTAACAATAAATACGAGAGGATCTTGCACTGGATGAGGCTGACACACGCAAAGCCCAGCCTGATAACCTACCCTTCCATTTATTTAGAAGCCTTTTTACCCAGCCATTTTCGTGACATCAGGGCTCTTACTTTACCCAGCCCCTGAAAAACTTCCCTGCCATTTACCCGTTTTATTCGGTAGCTGATAACCAAACATTGCTGGCAGATTATTTGCCCATGATGTGGTTTTGCTTATGAAACACTTTTGTTTAAATTTGTTTTTAATGTTTTTATTTATTTCTGAGAGAGACCGCGTGAGCAGGGGAGGGTCAGAGAGAGAGGGAGATACAGAATCTGAAACAGGCTCCAGGCTCTGAGCTAGCTGTCAGCACACAGCCCGACGCGGGGCTTGAACCCACAAACCGTGAGATCATGACCTGAGCCGAAGTCGGACGCTTAACTGACTGAGCCACCAAGGCGCCCTGCTTATGAAACACTTTTGAATTTTACTCTCAAAAACCATTAAACTGGTCTCCACTGCTGTATAATTTTACTAATTGTGTCCAGATAGTTGGAAAATATAATTTGAAGGACAGAATTCAGCTTGACTTCCTAGGATATTTACAGCTGCCAAAGATACTAAACATATGAAGATGCTGAGGGACTTAGGAAGTCAGTCTTTCAGAATAAGGGAGAGCTGGGCCTTTTTACTTAAAAAAAAAAAATGCTTTAATATATCAATCCTAGAAACTTAAAAATATCCAGAGGTGAGAAACATGGTACACTATCTCTATTTTCCAAACTCACCGTAGTTATTTTTACTGTCATTCAGATCTCAGCAAAAGCATTTCTTACAGGAAATGGAAAAATGATCAGGAATTTTAGCCTGAATATTTCTGATAAGAATGTTGTAAGACACATTCATGTGTTTTTATATTACTTTCCTCCTAGGCTCCTAAGTGATGTTTTTTGTTTAAAAAAAATTTTTAATGTTTATTTTTGAGAGAGAGAGCATGAGTAGGGAAGGGGCAGAGAGAGAGGGAGGCACAGAATCTGAAGCAGGCTCCAGGCTCCGAGCTGTCAGCACAGAGCATGATGCAAGGCTCAAAGTCACAAACCATGAGATCATGACCTGAGCCGAAGTCAGACACTTAACCGACTGAGTCACCCAGGCACCCCCTGATGTTTAGTGACCTCATCTAAGCTCCCTTTTCTCATAACTAACCCCTAATAACAGACAGTTTTCAGTATGAATAAGGTGCCCCAACATTTTTTCCAGATAATTAGAGAGTCCCTTTATTTAATTTTGCCATCTACTATCTTCCACTATTTTCCAAGCCGGCAGGTGACCAGCTTGTAAAATCAATTCTGTGTTTTAACTCTCCACATAAACTACTCATGACTAAAATAAGTGTTAATCTTGTTTTGTTTTACCCACAAGCAACCCCGTGCCAGATGGTGTGGTCTGTAAGGACGATTTTCTTCGTGCTTGTGTGTGCTGAGTTTCACATTCAAACAAACTGCCTGCCTACTCTTTGTCACCAAAAGAACTTTATTTTAAAACTTCCCAACTGCACACACAATGTCTTTCCTTTAACAAGAGAAAGTTCAAACCACGTCTGCTAAAACGGGGCGCATGATCAGTGTCTGATCACCGTGTAGGCAGCCAGTCCCTGTTCCCGGATGCTCATCCCTGCTGTAGGTCACAGCTAATCCCACCTCTAGCTAGTCCATTTTGCTCACCAACAGTGGATCCTCCACGGTGTCTGTCCAGCACAGAACATTCGGGAGCTTGTGTGCTAAGTCATCTCGCAAAAGACAAAGGAAAGTGTTCCAGGTGACTCCTCCCCAGGGCCTAATCGACTTCCACCACCACCTGGGAGAGAAGCTAGTTACTGAAGAGGGGAGACCAAGAAAATCAAGCATTTCTTAGTGAAGAGGGCATCAGGCCAAAAGTTAAATTTGGAGGCCCTGGGGATAGTTCAAGGAGTCCTGAGGTTTTTGAAAATAGAAAATGATGGCTTGGGGTGGGGGGGGGGGGAGAATGGTAATTTAGAGTAAAGAGGAAGAATTAGGATCTAGAGATTGCTAATTCAAGGGAGTAAATAAAGCCATCCTTGCTTCTTACTTGCTTATACTGTTGACTTTTAGAAATGAACCCTGGGAAAATTTACTGTATGCTCAGCTGCTAAATAATGTAATTTGCCCATTTACAACAACCAGAAAAAGGTGGGGAAGGAAAAATAACATCGGCATCTTGCCCGCTTCCATTCTTTGAAACAACAGGGATAACAGCACAGAAAAAGTCCACACTTTGGTGCCAAAATGACTAATAATGCTTTGTTTAAAAAAATAAAGTGCAGGAAAAGGCTTGTGTATTTGTATACCTACATACTTTTAGGTAGAATTCCCCTTTCTTACTGTGAAACAAGGATCAAAAAACATAAAGACAAAAATGAACAGATCCAACTGTATAAAAATACTAAATTTCTATTTGGAAAAAATATCAGTTTCAGAGCTAAGTAAGTACAGGGGACGCCTAGGTGGCTCAGTCAGCTAGGTGTCCGACTTTGGTGCAGGTCATGGCCTCATGGTTCGTGAGTTCGAGCCCCACATCGGGCTCCATGCTGATAGTGTGTAGCCTGCTTGGGATTCTCTTTCTCTGCCCCTCCCCCACTCGCTTGCCTTCTTTCTTTCTCTCTCTCTTTTTTTTTTTAATTTCTAGGAGAGAGAGAGAGACAGCGTGAGCAGGGCAGGGTCAGAGAGAGAGGGAGTTACAGACTCTGAAACAGGCTCCAGGCTCCGAGCTGGCAGTCAGCACAGAGCCCGACGCGGGGCTCGAACCCATGAACCGCGAGATCATGACCTAAGCGAAAGTCGGACGCTTAACCTACTAAGCCACCCAGGCGCCCCTCGCCTTCTTTCTTTCTCAAAAATAAATAAACATTAAAAAAAAATTAAAGCTGAGCACAAAGCAGGAAATGAATTGCGAAACATGACAAAGATCTACATAAAGAACTTCAGCAAATCAGTAAGGACCACAATAGGCAAAGGCCTCACAGGTGCCTCCCTGTCAGCAAGAGAAATGTTAATAGCTAATAAACACTTAAAACTTTTCACCTTCTTTAATAATTAAAGGAATACAAATAAAAACAAGAGCGAGACCAGTTTCACTGGCAGTTGTCAAGGGTGAAAAACTTTAATATCCTCCAGAGTTTTTGACAGTGTGAGGAAACAACGTCTCATGTATTTTGGTGTGATACATTCAAGGGCAAAAACATCCATAAAAACTTTAAGTGTGTATAGTGTCTGACCCAGCATTCCACTGTTAGAAAGTTAACTTACAGCAATATGTGTACAAATGAGGTAAGATACCTGCACCAAGATGCTTATTAAAGCAAATTCTCTGTAAGAATAAAATAGAATAACACTTAAGTTACCAAAAAAAAAAAAAAAAAAAAAAGAATAACACTTAAAGTTCCATCACTAAGGGACTGACAAACTAAAAGACATCAGCAAAATGGAATAGCCTAGGGCTACTTTTTATTGTATTTTAATTCTTTATTTTTTTATAATAGTTTTTTGTCAAATTGGTTTCCATATAACACCCAGTGTAGTTTTTTTTTATTTTTTAAGTAGGATCCATGTCCAGTGTGGGGCTCAAACTCACAACCCTGAGTTCAAGAGTCACATGTTCTACTGACTGAGCCACCCAGGTGTCCTTCTGGGGCTACTTAAGAAAAAAATTTTTTTAATGTTTGTTTGTTTGTGAAGGAGAGAGAGAGACAGAGTGCGGGCAGGGGAGGAGCAAAGAGAGAGAGACACAGAATCCAAAGCAGGCTCCAGGCTCTGAGCTGTCAGCACAGAGTCTGGTGCGGGGCTTGAACTCAGGCTCCATGAGATCGTGACCTGAGCCTAAGTCTGATGCTTAACCGACTGGGCCATCCAGGCACCCCTAGGGCTACTTAAAAGTGAGCAGGGTTTGGTTTCAGCTCAGGCCATAGTCTCACAGTTTATGAGTTTGAGCCTCACATTGGCCTCTGTGCTAACAGCATAAAGCCTACTTGGGATTCTCTCTTTTCCTCTCTCTTTGCCTCTTCCCTGCTCGCTCTCTCTGTCTCTCTCAAAATAAATAAATAAGCTTTAAAAAAAATTAAATGATCGGGGTTTAGGGGTGCCTGGCTGGCTCAGTGGGAGGAGTGTGTGACTTGATCTCAGGGTTTTGAATTTGAGCCTCACGTTAGATACAGAGATTACTAACTAAATAAATGTTAAAAAAGATGAGCAAGGTTGATATTCGCTAAGATGAAAAGAACCCTATGCTATATTAGTAGGAGCACATTATAAAAGCAAATGTACAAAACATGTAGGATATATGGAATAATCATACATTTGGGGGGGAATATGTTTCTGTGCATGTACATAATAAAAAAAAATGCAGAGCAAACAATAATGAGTGAGAGCGGGGCTGGTGATTTTTACTGTTTTCATGGACAATGCCTGTACTGTTTGTACTTTTAGTAGCATTTTATTTTTTTCAACCAGAAGAAAAGCAAGGAGAAAGAGGGGCTGGCAGAGCGTGCGCTCGCTGCAAGGCAGAGAGTGTACGTACAGGAACATTGCAGACGAGCCCACGTCAGAGCCCAGCGCTCCGAGGGCGCGGAGACCAGATGGAGAACAGAGTCCCGGGAAGGAAACTGGGATGAGTGTCCAAGGGCCCTCAGCCAAGAGGAAGGGAGAGGCAGGAAAGGAGTCCAAACAGGGAGTCCAGTGCAGATGGATGGGTTTGCACCAAGGATGCGGATCTTGGGCTGCAACCAAAGGCTGCTGTTTTCCGTCCTGGGTAAAATGAGGGCCGCTAGCAGGAAGGCAGAGGAAGCTGGAGTGAGGCAAGCTCTGTAGGTGGTGCCATTGGCCTTGGCAGAAAAGGCTAGGGCTGCTTCCCCAGTGGCTTTCACCTGGCTATTCTAAGTCACAGGTAATTAGACACGTTTGAGCAATCTTGTCTTGAGGAATCTTCCAGAACCTAATGGCTTTGTTGTGGTCCCCTTACAGAGTACCTGTGTTTCCAGGAACTTGTCCAAGCTTTCCTTTATTTACCCAGTCACCTTGGTTTTCACTGAGTGCTCTGTGCAGGTTTCTAAGCTAAGCCTGGGGTTGGTTGGTGGGGGTGAATAACAAAGGTGGTTTGCGTACAATTTCCGGGCGCAAGGAATTCACAGCCTCCTGGTAAAATGAAGAGAATGAGACAATCACACGTGCAGGGTGTAGTGTGATAGCAAATTACTTCAAAGTCACTTTTTCCGTGCACAGGCCTATTATAATGCCTGCCTCTCTGCCTGACATATGGTAGATAATAATAATATTCTTATGATCGAAGTGCCGTAAAATAAATACAAGTACAATGTAAATCAAAGGTCTTTTCCCATGAATGAAGAAAAGCAAGAATGATCATATCTCACAGAATTACCATGAAGGTTCTAAATAATCTTTCCCTTCAAATTACTGGAACATACAGAGAATAACCATTGTTAAACTCTACTAGTAGTTGAAGTAAAAATGGAAATAGCTGCTACTTCAAAAACTTAGCATGGTTGCTTTTTTTGTGGATGCATGAGCGCGTGTAGTAACTGTCCCCCCAAAGAAGGCTTGGCGGGCTTTTGTATTGTCCCATATACCCACACATAGGAGTCATAACAAATTTTTGGTCTCAGAGTATTTCTGGTCTACAAAGTTGCCTGCTTCTTGCTTGCTATAAAATCTTTCCGTAGCAGGGGCGCCTGGGTGGCTTAGTCGGTTAAGCGTCCGACTTTCGCTTAGGTCATGATCTCGCGGTTCGTGGATTCGAGCCCCGCGTCGGGCTCTGTGCTGACTGCCAGCTCAGAGCCTGGAGCCTGTTTCGGTCTGTGACTCCCTCTCTCTCTGACCCTCCCCTGCTCATGCTGTCTCTCTCTCTCCTAGAAATAAATAAAACCTTTATTTAAAAAAAAAAAAAATCTTTCCATAGCATACTTTGAAAAGCCCACAGGAAGTCATACTATATTTCTGCCCAAATTGGCTCCCAGTAGGGAAGGGAGCTCAACTCCTTTGTAAGGGTCTTAGAGTGCGAGGCCTAGGCTGATAGGCTCATCCACATACCACAGGATACACCAGGATCTGTGGCCCAAGGGAAACAAAATGACCCGTGCCCGACAAATAGACTGTCACCCATGAGGACGGTCTGCAGGTCTTCGACCTGTATGTTTAAGGATGAAATGGCAGCAGCCTCTATGCCCTTGGCCCACCGACACAGGGCAGCGCTAGCCCCTCATCTGTCCCTACCATCAGCTTGGCCTTTGCATGGATTTGGTTGTCCTATCGGCCAATAAATAAAGCCTCACTGAGTGTCTTTTATGTGGCCGGGACGACATTCATCTCCATAAGGGCTGTGCAAAACAGAGGGGGCCATCAGGTTGGCTCTGCCAGGAGATGGCCCTTTGTGGAGCTGCCTCAGCTGTCTAGTCCTGCTCCTCAGTCCTGCTCTGTGTTTCGCTTCCAGAAAGTTCCACAGCTAACAAAGATTCTGGCCAAGAGTCCGAGTCCATTCCAGAGTATACTGCGGAGGAGGAGCGGGAAGACAACCGGCTGTGGAGGACGGTGGTGATCGGAGAACAGGAGCAGCGGATTGACATGAAGGTCATCGAGCCCTATAGGAGAGTCATCTCTCACGGAGGTAGCCCAGCTCTCTGCGGCTCTGGGAGGTGGCGGGCAGGGCAGCCGCACGTCTCTACTAGGAAAATGAAACGAGGGTTCTTTGCAGCGTGACAGCCTCAGAACCCTGTTCTGCAGTCAATATTCAGGGGACTAGAGAGCCGAGGGCATTACCTCATGCCCAATTCAATAAACAGTGGGAAACCTACTATGCAAAAAATAGCTTTCCGGTGTGAAAACTCTTTCACGCCGCATATCTGACAGCCATGATCTTCTGTGCAAACTTCTCGAAAACTGTAGTTGTCCAATTAAATAATGTCTGCTTGGAATTCATGTGGGTCGGCTGTAGGTTAGGTTTTTGTTTGTTTTTTTTTAAATAGAGTTGACCTACAATGTTGTATTAGTTTCAAGTGATTCGACAGTTATATGCATTCTGAAATGCTTACCGACTGCCGGTTATAAAATACGTAAGTCACGGGAATGGAAAGCAAAGCACAGGGAAGGTAGTCCATAATAGTGTAATAATTTTGTATGGTGACAGGTGACGACCACACTTCTCATGGTGGCGGGGTTTACCTGACTAGCTTCCGAGTCTGTGCTACCACGACCTATCGCAAGGTCACTACTCCTTCTAAAAACAAAATGGTCCTTTGAATCCTCTTAGAAGCCTTAAGAAGTCTTCTTAGACTCAGCCTGGTCAGTTCTCCCCTACTTGAAGCTTTCTTTTCTATGGACTCCATTCCATCTGTGCCTGACAACAGGCATTTCCAGCGAGAGCCTCCACTTGCTTTACTGACTGACAAGGCAGAGTCAAAAACTGTGTGTTCTGTATTTCCAGTGCTTTTTTGGAGCTTCAGGAGCCTTGCTTAATTTGGGATTCACAAAAAGCCAGATGAGCACAAGCAACGCATTTAACGTTGTCAACCTCAGGAAACACGAACGGCTTCTTTTCTTTTTCTGCTGCATGCGCTCCTTTCCTGCAGTCCTGAGCCACCGCCCTAACCACTCAGCTCTTCCCAAAACAGTGTAAGCTGATAAGGCAATCATTCTCTCTTCCTTAGCAGGAACAGGGAAATAGTGTCTGCGCACTGCATTAAACCTGTAGCTTTTGTTTCCTAACACGCAGAAGGACATTTTGTTTCTTCAAACTTCCTTCCGCTGGCCAGATTATCTCCCTCCGTGTAAGTATCAGGGTCACCCAGGGACTCCGACCTGGATAGCGCAAGAAAATGCCCAGAGGTGCCCCTGGCCATGACCTTGCTTTGCCCCGCCTCACTGTTTGACCTGCAGTGGTAATAGGGCCCAGTGATAGCTGCTGTGGGACCGGAGGTGGTTTCCTTGAAGGGAAAACCTTTCCATAGCCCCGCAGAATGAGAGCTGGCCTGATCTTGCTGAGACAAACAGACGGCCAGCCATAGAGTCAGCCCCTTTGTTCTTAAGACGAAAACCACAACCTGAACGTCACCCCAGATCTTCCCAGAAGCTCCTACCTGCTTTGCACTGCCCATCAGGTATTTGGGGTTTGTTTGCTTTTTGGAAATAAAAAGAAAACAACACAAAGCCTGATTATAAAAGTAGCCTGTGCCCATTCAAAACAAAAGGTCAAAAAAGGTAGAAAACAAATCAGAGTCACCCAGTAGTAATCGGTGTAAGTGTTTACCACGCGGGGTCTTACCTTAAGAGCCCCTTTGTTGTGAAGAAGCAACATCCCTGCTTCCCAGCTCTCCTGAGCCCATCTGTCCTTTGCCCAAATCAGGAAAGAGTGATTATCATCGACACGCTAGGGTTAAAAAAAAAAAAAAAAAGCCAATGTTTCTGCCTATCACATTCTGTGACAATTTGGCTGAGCCAACATGGGTAACCTGGTTTGCTGTGCTCTCCATCCCAGCCACCCCCTCCCCTGGCCTTCGCTCCCCTCCGCTCTGTGTCATGAGCTCGGTTTTGTCCATGTGTCTGTCCGGTGTGTTTGGAAGAAACGGCCACCTCCCCTCTCCCCGGCTCCATCTCGGCCTTCCCCGGGCTCCAGCCTGCATGAGTGTGCCCTTGGCCGTATCCTTCCAGGACATTAGCCGGGCGCTGCCTCTTTCCCCCACCCCCGAACAGCTTTTGTGCTCTGTAGGTCAAGACAGCATCAGATCTTAATGCCTGAATTTGCCAGAGCTTGGTCTGCTGTGTTGGATGCTGACGCCTCATCCTTAGATGCTACCGATGAGAAAGCGACACTCCCCAGCTACCAATCGCTTGTGTTTGTTTTCCTGGCTTCTGAGGGGCGTGTGAGAAGCAGCACCCCATAGTGAGCGCAGGCCTTGCTGGGGTGTCTGGCATTGTGAAAGCGGGAGCTTGAGAACTGCAAGGTGGCGGTGATTAAAACCACCACCCAAGTTCGCCGCAAAGCCGGGCTCTGCCAAGGGGCTCTGCCGACGGGGAGCACGTGAGAGCAGTATCGGAACGAATACTGCGGTCTTCCACTTTGGTGACCTTGATAGGAGCTATGGTAGGAGGCCTTGTACACCGTCTAAAAGAACAGAGTTCAAGATCTGTCTTCACCACTAACTGCTCTGTGACCTTGGCACATCACCTCAAAAGAGGTGATCTCAAAGCCAGGGTCACCGCCACCCATGAGCCCATGAGCAATATGCCTAGTATCTGCTTAACCAAACAAACAACAAAAACCAAAGAGAGGTCTGGGTGGTTTTGATCAACAACAATGTTGGGTCCCTTGAAGGCCAGCAGCTGGCTGTTTTTGAACTTGGGACAGAGAATGCATTTAAATAACCAAGGACAGTCACACCGAAGCATTATAATGAGAAGTTTCCTTTCTTGTTTTTTGTTTTGTTTTGTTTTGTTTTTGTTTTGTTTTTACTTCTCTTATTTCATTATAGGAGATTCAGGTAACTTCTCGACAGTTGCTGGACAAATGACCCTGGAAAGATGAGAAGAGTTGCGAGCTGGTGTGTGTGTGTGTATGTTTTGGTTGCGACTGTGACATCTTCCCTCCTCTCTCCATTCCATTTGCTGGCCGGCAAACTTGTGTTACATCCCTTTCATGCCTGTCTGTTCTGCCTCAGGTAAGGTTTGCGTTATTGCTTCGGAGGGTGTCAAGAGGCCCCGTGGTGGGATTGCCCACGCGCCTCAGCGTTCACACCCCGCACTCCCCTCCTGGTTACTGAGAAGAGAGCTAGAATACAGGTTCTTAAAAACCATACTTGGAATGAATTCTCCGGCGGCTGGCTGCCGACTTCCCTTGAGTTAAGCTGCAATATGCTCCGTATTAGCATAGAAATCTGGTTAGCTGACCCCCTCGAAGGCATCTGCAAGGAACCAAGAACAAAGGGACCTATTCATTCCAGTTCGTGCCCTTTGCCAGCAAGGACGATCTGAAATATCTCCAGAACTTGACAACAATGACACACAGATCTTGGCTTGGACGGAGAACTTCCACGAAGCAATCTTTTCCTTCTAGTTCCTTTCTTACATCTTAAATCTTATCTCCTCTTCTTCTCTTCCTCTGCCCTTTGCCTCTTCTTCCCTTCCTGCAACTCCTCTGCCCAAAACGACAAAACTCCACCTTCACTAGTAAATTTCAGGAATTTTTATTTAAAGAGACATTCCTGACTTAAGAGTTGATTCGTCAGTATCCCTTCGATTCAAGGAACCTGGGTGAACGCGACACCGTGGCATTCCGAGGACGGGCACATTGACCCAAAGTGCTGAAATGCCATTCGAGATGACTTCTGAAGTACTGTTTAGAAACCTCAGACTGTCCTTTAAAAAAAAAAAATTAGTATTAGAAATTCTCCAGAAATGGAAAAAGAAATCAAAATAGCTGAGTGGTCATGATCGTGAAGTTATCCTGACACGCTCTGGAGCCAAGCAGCTACATTTAGAGAGATGCTTTTGTACTTGTTTTTAAGTTGGATTCATTATGTCTATTACCTCTTTTAATGAACCCAGCCCTTGGGATGGTGCGGAGTCTAAATTGCCTACCTTCGTGGTGTTAGCATTGGTTCGGCAAAGCCACAGTATCCTTTGTGGATTTTCACTCGGTTATGAATCTTCTTACATGAAATTGTTCAGTAGAACAGACACTTCTTGTAAGAAAATGTATCTCCTGCCATTTTCCTTCACATCTCATTCTTAACAAAGTTGGTAACTACCTACGTGTTGGAAAAGACAGAACAAAGCAAATAATCCATAGGGAAGCCACTGCAATCCTGTTTTGCAAACACGGGTTACATCAGGTATATACTTACATAGGTAGCATCTTCTAAGCATGTAGAGTAAACACTGCATACAACAACCTCAAATTAGTCCTACACACACACCCATAATTCGATATATTTTTAGTTGGTATCACTCTCTTCCCCCACCTCTTTTGTGGTAGTCATACTGTCTTTGTCAAGAACATCTTATTAAACTGCTTTTCAAGAGTTAAGCCCATCCAAGTCTATATCCAGCTGGTATTTTACTGCCATGTAATCACCGGAGGGGTATTTAGAGTTCTGAAAAAAATAAAACGCACTGAGTTCAGATCAGGCTTGAGGGTATGTCCTGTCTGCCTACTCAGAGCTTTGAAACAATCTCTATTTAATGGCTCTGAAGCCCAGAACTACATTATATGACAAAAATTCTAAGTGTTTATGAAGGGATATTGAAAAATGAAAACACGATGCATCGTTTCCATTTTTAAGTCTGAAGGGCACGAGAGATTCCATGCACAAACCTATGGAGGTTTGGCCGACAGCTGCCACGAGTGTCCAAGATGAGCTTTGAGGGAACACAGAGCTTAGAGAATGCCTCAGAGCTTTCAGGTGTGGGTAAAATGCCTTGAGATGTCCTTTTATTTTTCTTGACCGTTAGAGTTCACACTTGCCTTTTATTTTCTCACACTTCTGCACATAGCACCCCCACCTCTGCATCCTGTCCACGTCACCAGGAAGTAATTCTCAAGTTTTCTCAGAAGTACATGCTGTTGTAAAATGCAAAGAGAGCTTAGCTTTCACCAGGCCCTTCTGGAATGTGTTCTTTTTTAAAAAGACGAGGCTCTGCATTCTGTGCTCAGTGACTCTAGGCCTGGCCAGAACTTTCCTTGTATCCTGAACTGTCTGTTGAATCTGGAGATCCCAGGGAAACTACAGGCAAGTGAACTAGTCCACAAAATCAAAATAAAGATGTTTTGTTTGTAAACCTACTCATATCTGGCCACTGGAGTATGTGAGCCTGATTGCATTGCAGCACAGTGACTAGATTTTCCCTTTAACAGAACCTAAAAAAAAAAAAACAGCTATAAAGGATCAAGCAGAGCCTCTTAGCCATTAAGGGACAGAGCATTATATAAGTTAGAAACCTGTAAGTCCAAACCCCCACCCTTTGCTAAGCTGAATATTTATATACCCCAAACATGACTATGTACAACATTTATAATCATCCTTAATAAATGGATATGCCATTTATGCAAATAGGTTCACACTGTGTATTTAAAGCTGTATATAAATATACATATATTATACTCTATATGATAATCACTGAAACTAAGGTTATGTGTATGTACTTATAGAAGTGTAGTCTATATAATACTCACTTAAAGATCTGTCACATTTATGTACACACACTTGCCAAAGCTTCCAGATTTGCCCTTTACGTTAATATTATCTTGTTAAGAGCTTTCAGTTGGTCACAAGTGTCTTTTTGTTTGTCACCCAGGATACTATGGGGACGGCCTAAATGCAATCATTGTGTTTGCTGCCTGTTTTCTGCCAGATAGCAGTCGGGTGGATTACCACTATGTCATGGAAAATCTTTTCCTGTGAGTGCCATTTATGACAAAGTGCTTTGAGTGAATGTCTGTGGCATGGCATGGCAGAGAGAGCATCTTTAATAAGAGGAAATGGACGATGTAGAATATTCTAAGCCTCTGATGAAAAGTCAATGAAATCTCTGTCAAGGAATATTGCTCAAGAGGCTGAAACCTTTAAAAGAACTCTTGTCAGTAGAGCCATTTGAAGACAAAATGAACACAGTCTTGCCTGTGCTCTAAAATTCTGTAACACTTCCTTTGGATAAAGTGTTGTTTTTTGTTCCCCCCATAACATGGCTTCATTTATGTCATTCATTTGTGCCTTTGGCACATGACGACGTTGTTGACATTTTTGAAATTCAGGTTCTAACCTACATAGTTTTTTAGTGTGCCTGCATTTAAAAAGATAAAAACAAGATAACCATGCAAATAAATGAGCTATACTCAGTCTCAGAGAAATAATCTTAGGAAACTGCATTCTTTTCAAGGTAAAGAGGTAATATGCACAACCATTCTTAAATGTCGTACACTCTGTAATTTAAATGTCATGTAATTATGGTGTAAATAAGATGAACTGTTTCATGTGGGAAATGAAAACCCTTCTCTTCCTTCCTGTGATCAGATATGTAATAAGCACGTTAGAGCTGATGGTAGCTGAAGACTATATGATTGTGTACTTGAATGGTGCAACTCCCAGGCGCAAGATGCCTGGGCTGGGCTGGATGAAGAAATGCTACCAGATGATTGACAGACGGTACGTGGGCACCATTATTAAATCCCTGTTTGGACTTCCTCAACCACTCCCATTTCTAATTCCCTTTATCGACCAAAACTGTGATCACATTTTGGGAACATTGCATTACGCAGAGTTAAGAAATGATAGAAATGTTAATAAAAGGGCCACTTGCTGCCCCAAATCTGAAAGAAAAGGAAGCTCCTCTAGGTTTTGCTGGATGTTGTCATCTCAAACCTGGCCACCAAGTCTGTTCTAAACTATGCGTATGCCGTTGCCATGTGAAGGGGCAGTTTGTGCTGATAAACCAGAGTATCCATGATTCTTTTTTTTAAGTTTATTTTGAGAGAGAGAGAGAGAGAGAGAGAGAGAGAGTGCTCATGCATGTGGGGAGGAGCAGAAAGAGAGAGAGAGAATCCCAATCCGGGGCTCAAACCCATGAACCATGAGATCATGACCTGAGCCAATCAAGAGTTAGATGCTTAACCAACAGAGCCACCCAGGCACCCCTGGAGTATCCACGATTCTTTACCAGTTTTACATGATTTTGATGCTGTTTATGTGCACTGGGACTGTTGATTTGGGCACCTGTTGTGCTTGTATTTCATCATCCACTGACAATTCAAGTTAACCACTAGTCCATTTGGTCCCTTGGTGCACTTTTTTCCCAAGATACTTCCATCCATACTGGCTTGAATAGAACAAAACATGTGAGGGGCGCCAGGGTGGCTTAGTCGGTGAAGTGTGGCATCCCCTTAGACATGGCTCTGTGCATGACAATATGCGAGTGCCCTGTTTTGTTAACTAAGATTCATTTCATGGTCTAAACATTTATAAAGTAGCACTGCTAATACTTCAACACATGCCTGAGTATCAAGAATGTGAAAATGGTCATCTGAAGATCAAACAACCATATGATATACTGTTACTTGTTTCATAATACAGAAGAAGAAACCAAGGTTTAGTAGGTCAGATAAATTGGCCAAGTTGGTAGTAAGACTGTTCTTTTCAAAATAGTGAAGATAATGATTGCAAAAATGAAAAGCATTGTTATGCAAAAATGCACTATGGTAGTCATAGATTTAGGCACTCCAGAAATACAACCATCCTACTTTACATTTTTTCCTATGGGAAAATGAGGTTGGACTCGTACAAGTTACACATTGTATCTCAAAAAAATTTGGGGGGGAGGGGCGGGGTGCCTGGGTGGCTCAGTCGGTTCAGCGTCCGACTTCGGCTCAGGTCACGATCTCATAGTTCGTGGGTTGAAGCCCCATGTCAGGCTCTGTGCTGACAGCTCAGAGCCTGGAGCCTGCATCGGATGCTGTGTCTCCCGCTCTCTCTGCTCCTCCCCCACTCATACTGTGTCTCTCAGAAATCAATAAAGAAAAATCTTTAATAAGAAAATTTTTTATTCATCATGGTCATTCAGTTCCTTCCCATCAGATAATAGGAACTTACCTAGAAGTCTCTACTATTATAATATTCTTATTTGGAAATATACTTTCTGTTTTAACTCCTACTGAAAATGGGTTAGGAGTAATTATTTTCCTTTTTCTTAAATAGGTTGCGAAAGAATTTGAAATCATTCATCATTGTTCATCCATCGTGGTTCATCAGAACGGTTCTTGCAGTGACTCGACCGTTCATAAGGTATGGGTGTTGTTATAGTCAGAGCACTACCAGTATTTCTTCAAAATACGTGTTCATTGTCCCATCAACAAGGATTCATGAACAGAGAGAATATTTAGGAAGACATATTTTGCCTCTGCCTTTCCTGGAAAGCTAGTTTGGACTGTGTAGCAAGGAACCCTAATTAAGAGTGAACATTATTTTATAATGACTATTTTTCCCCACTGTTACGAAACATGACCTCTCTGTTGCTTGCTCTAACACAGAGGATGAGCTGTCAGGGTTTCTGGGCTGCAATACAGAAGGGAGTAGGTAATACTTTTAAAGTGATTTGGTATTTTCTTGGGGCTCCTACGTGGCTCAGTCGGTTAAGGCCGACTTTGGCTCGGGTCGTGATCTTGTGGTCATGGGTTCAAGCCTCGCATCGGGCTCTGTGCTGACAGCTCAGAGCCTGGAGCCTGCTTCAGATTCTGTGTCCCCTCTCTCTCTGCTCCTCCCCCACTCCTGCTCTGTCACTCTCAAAATTAAATAAACATTAAAAAATTTTTTATAGTGATTTGGTATTTTGCAGAGAATGGAAAAGGCATCATAACAGAACAGTGGAAAATAAAGACAAACCAAGGACAGAAACAGGAGCGATGTTTTGCCTTAATTGTTCTGTTTCTTCTGAACAAATATACAGGTCACCAAACTTAGGGAAGGGGTCTGGGCAATCATTTTGATAGCTTTTTTTTTTTTATTGCTCTTGAGGAGTCTTGTTTTCAATTCAGTTCAGTTCTATGAATATTTATTCACCATGTATGTTGTGTTAGATCCTATATTTCCTGATATTTTAGGGGTAGTAAGAACAATGAAACGGGTGCCTGGGTGGCTCAGTCGGTTAAGCGTCCGATATCAGCTCAGGTCATGATCTCAGGGTTCGTGGGTTCGAGCCTCACGTTGGGCTCTGTGCTGACAGTTCGGAGCCCATAGCCATTTCAGATTCTGTGTCTCCCTTTCTCTCTGCCCCTCCCCCGCTCGTGCTGTCTCTCTGTCTCAAAAATGAATAAACAATAAAAAAAAAAAAGATAGCAACTCTTAAAAAAAAAAAAGAAAACATGCCTCATAATATAGTGAGACTTGAAACAGTTAAATGAAAGGGGCAGTATGGATTTCCTAGAGAGCTTTAAAATAAAATACAGTCTTACCTATCATTATGATATAGATTAGATGAACTGAAAATTTTCTGTCTCAAGGTTATTGGTAGATTTCTAAGAAACATTCTAATCACTTCTGGAGAAGAAAAAGAAACCCTAAAGGTTAAAAACCTTTATGTATTTATTTTTTTACATAGACATTTACTGTGCTTTACCAATTCTACCTTTTTTGTCAGTGTTCACTTACATGTATGTAATATTTCCATCACCTACTCCTTACCATTGAGTTCCATCTTTCCACCTAGTTTTCCTCTGGCAAAGTTTAGTTCTTTACCATGCCATGTTAAATTGCTTTAAAAAATAATATGAAGTATTTAAGGTATACAGAAGCCACTTTTTTTAGTGATAGAAAATGCTTTGGGGCACTTGGGTGGCTCAGGTTAAGCATCTGACTTCGCCTTAGGTCACAATCTCATGGTTCGTGAGTTCAGGCCCCGCATCGGACTCTGTGCTGTCAGCGTGGAGCCTGGAGCCTGCTTCGGATCTTCTCTCCCTCTCTTCCTGTCCCCCTTCCCCTCACGTTCTCTTTCTCTCTCGAAAATAAAAATAAACATAAAAACAAGAAGAAAATGCTTTGATAAGGGAGTAGGAATCAATGTACACTAAAGAGCTTATAAAAACTTTAATGGTAGGCTGTCTGGCTGGTTCAGTTGGTGGAGCATGTGACTCAGTCTCAGAGTTATAAGTTCAAGCTCCACATTGGATATAAAGATTACTTAAAAATAGAATCTTTTTAAAAAAATTCTTTTTAGGGGCGCCTGGGTGGCTTAGTCGGTTAAGCGTTCGACTTTCGCTTAGGTCATGATCTCGCGGTTCGTGGGTTCGAGCCCCACGTCAGGCTCTGTGCTGACTGCCAGCTCAGAGCCTGGAGCCTGTTTCAGTCTGTGACTCCCTCTCTCTCTGACCCTCCCCTGCTCACACTGTCTCTCTCTCTCTCTCCTAGAAATAAATAAAAAAATTTTAAAAAAATTCTTTTTAAATTTACTGAGTCAAAAAAGTAAACATTATGTTCATATTCATTCACTGATATTTGTCCAGTCACTGGGTGTTACAATTATAAAACAAGTAAGTTTCTTGATAAATAACAAAATTTTGTTACTGTAGGAATACTGAAAAATAATTATAACTCAACATCATCTATTGAAGGGAGTTTCAAGATAATAAGTACAACAAAAATAAAATTATAGCAAAGAGTATTGTGGTAATTACAGAAAATAATGGCTTATGTTTGCTGAGTATGTACAGGCATAATCTCATTTAATTGTAATGCAAGCCCCTGAAGGAGGTACTGTTTGCTGTTTCCTTCATATAGGAAAACTCCCTGAGGTTTGATGAGGTCAAATAAATTGTCTAAAGCAAAAACTAGCAGACCCATTCTGTAAAAGATCAAACAGTAAATATTTTAGGTTATGTGGACCATCTGGTCTCAGTCACATCTCCTCAACTCTGCCGCGAGAGGTCCAAAGCAGTCACAGACAATATGCAGGTAAGTGAGGGTGGTAAAAACCATTCCTGGCTGGAGGGCTGTGAGAAAAAACAAACAAACAAACAAACAGTTAACAAGCTGGCTTTGGTCCCCAGCCTGTAGTTTGCCAACCCCAGGCCAAACATAATATAGCCAAGAATTGACCCACTCAGTCTTTGAACCCAGTTGTCTGCCTAATTGTAAAGAAAACATATTTCAAGTACTGCAACATTACACCCTACAGTCTCATCTGAGGCCCTCCGTCTTTAAAGGTCCCCCTCTGAATCAGTCTATCTCAGTGTAACTGATTTTTAGACCTGGAAAAAAGGGGTCACTAAAATGTATTTTAGGTCCTTTTGCTGCTAAAGGATAATACCTATGATAGAGGTAGATGGGAAATTCTTTTTTTTTTTTTTAATGAATTGTCTGTGGCAAGTACTGGGTGGGGTGGAGATTGAGAAGCGTAGCAGCTGACATAGACAAGTAAGCAATGAAAATAGAGGGTACAACTGAAGCACGATGCGGGGCATAACACAGTGAGGGTGACTGTGGGGTAACAGGTAGAGAGTAAAGGCCGAGAGCCTATGTCAAGGGAGGTATTCCAGAAGGATGAGCCTTCAAGGGGAGTTTTGAAGAACCAATAGGATGGACTAGCTGAAACCAGATGGAAATAGTAAGTCCAAACACACCAAGAAGAGGACAACATGGCGTGTTCAGAGAACTGTACGTTCTAGTGAATGTAACCTTGGAGCTGGAGGCTTACCCCTCCACACACTGGATCTTTTATCAAAACCTGAATTTAGCTCAGAAAGTCCAGGGGAAGGAAGAGGTCTCATGCAACACATTATTGGTAGTGTGTATCCACCCAAGGCTTACCAGGAGGACTAGAAGTGACTATGGAGACACAAATTATTCACGAGTCACAGCCAGTGGCCCAGCATCAGACTGCAAGTAAAATGTGAAAGATAACTGTACAGAGAAATGACCCTGCAAAACCTTCCTTCTAGAATGCACAGTAGTTGAACAGAAGGCAATACAGTTGGCAGACAGCTCACCATGATCTGTAGACTGGAGAGGCCTTTTATCAGAAACCATTCCAGAAAGTTCGATGCTCCATCAAGTTCCCTTTCAAGTGGAATGACACATTTTAAAAATTAGTTTGCAATTACACCAATAATACATGAATGCTTTCTCCTTATAAAACATCCAACCCTTATAGATAAGACCAAGTTCTTCCTTCAACAACTACCAGCTTCTGTTCCAAACTCCTTTCCCCAGAAGGACATTCCTTGATTAGTTCCAATAGTATCCTTTCTTGTTGTCTTATATGCATTACACACATCTAGCATGATAATGTGTAGATGAAAGCTGTTTGTAATTCAGATCTGGAATATGGTTTGGGTCCATCTGGAATGAACGCTCTAGCTAAAACTTTAAAAAAAAAAATTTAACTAAAACATTAAGAGGAAAATAAGTTTACATATACTTTAAGAAGTTAATGTTTTATTTATTTTTGAGACAGCACAAACAGGGGAGGGCCAGAGAGAGGGGAACAGAGGATCTGAAGCCGGCTCTGTGCTGACAGCAGCGAGCCCAATGTGGGGCTTGAACTCATGAACCTTGAGATCATGACCTGAGCCAGACGCCCAACCAGCTGAGCCACCCAGGTGTCCCCCATATACTTTTAAAATTGACCAATCTTGGGGTCCCTGAATGTCTCAGTCATTTCAGCATTTGACCCTTGATTTTGGCTCAAGTCATGACCTCACAGTTTGTGAGTTATAGCCCCAGGTTGGGCTGTGTGCTGATAGCACAGAGCCTGCTTGAGATTCTCTCTCCCCCTCTCTCTCTCTCTGCCCCTCCTCTGTCTGCCCTCTCTCTCTTGAGATAAGTAAACATGCAAAAACATAAAAAATAAAATAGATCAACCTTGGAAGAGTCTGAAAGAATTAATGACAAGAGTTTTGTTTGTTAAGAACAAAGAAGCAAGCAAAGCCAAACAAACCATAAACCAATGACTGTGGAGAGTGGCAGACACCACTCAGAGGCCACGTGATGTGCAGACAAGAGTGCAGACTCTGAGGGGGATGAGGGACTAGGTGATGAGCACCAGGTGATGTATGGAAGTGTGAGTCACTATATAACACTGTGTTAACTAACTAGAATGAAAATGAAAACTTAAAAGAATAAAAGAGTGTAGATTCTGCTCTGGTTTGAATCCAGGCTCTACCATATACCTAAGGTGAGACCTTAAGCAAAGACTTATCTCTCTGTATGTGGAGTTTCCTTATCTTAAAAAAAAAAAAAAAAAAAAAAAAGAATAATTAGAGGTACCTGGGTGGCTCAGTCCATTAAGCGTCTGACTCTTGACCTTAGCTCAGGTCAGGATCTCACAGTTTGTGAGTTTGAGCCCCAAGTCGGGCTTTGTGCTGACAGTGTGAAGCCTACTTGGGATTCTCTCTCTTCTTCTCTCTGCCCCTCTCCACCTCTCAAAATAAATAAAGAAACTTTAATTAAAGAGAATAATGAGGGTGCTTGGAGGGCTCGGTTCATAGAGCATACGACTCTTGATCTCAGGTTTGTGAGTTCCAGCCCCACGTGTGGGATAGAGTTTAAAATAAATTTTAAAAAGAACACTAGGAGCCTCTTTTCAAAAAGAGAAAATAATACTAATAAGCCAGCTCATTAGCTTAAGAAGAAACAAGTGAGTTCATACATATAAACCACTTAAAACACTATCTGGCATGCTGTACCCACTCCAATGTGTAGCCTCTCTTCTTAGTAAGTGCTGGGCCAACGTGTTAAGTTTTTCAGGATTTTCAAGAAGAAGCAACATACTTGGAAGGAATGAAGTAGACACTAATGATATCTTTTCTCTCTCTTTTTTTTTTTTAGTTCAAAATTCAGCAGTAAAATTAAATATGTCAATAGCTTATCGGAACTCAGTGCACTGATCCCAATGGACTACATCCATATTCCAGAGAGCATCATCAAGTAAGTCCTGACGGTTTCCAAGATTTGGTAGGAAATACCAAAATACTGGGAGGAGATTGGAAAACAACTCATTTCAGGAATACTGGGGAAATGTCATTTGTTCTATTTCTTTTTTTTTTTTTTTTACAAATAGTTTATTGTCATTCGTTCTATTTAAAATAAATACTAAATATTTTCCAATCGGTAGATAGTTTTTCTCATAACCCATAGAGAACTATGCTGTTCTTTGACACCCTCTTTCACGTCATCTTCTCTGGGGGTTATCGATCATTGCTCATTTCACCTTGAATTTTGCTCCCATTTTGAAAAGCACAGACTGAACATGAATCAGGACACCTGTTACCGGGGTCTCCCTCTATCAATCACAGACATAATAGGGTCCGAGCACAGCTTGGCCTCCTTTTTGCCTCATGGAAAGTAATTTACCTGCATGGCCCTAGGAAAAGAGGGAAAAAATAAACTATCTTTTCTACGTTTTCTCCTAAATCCCTTTTCTTCACGGGGCCCTTCAGGTGAAAGGTAAGGCAGAGTGCTAGGTGGCTGGTTAGGGATGATCCCCTTCCTCAGGGAAATGCCATCAGTAGCCCATGAGGAGACAGCACGGAGACTGAAGGGCGCTGGATCGTGCTGTGAAAATAATGAGTAACAGTTAACACCGGCTGCTTGCAGCGGACACTTAAAAGTACGGAGGCTGAGGAGGGAACGCTCCTATTTGGTTCACTGTTGCAAAGGGCCGTTGTTTTCTGTGGGTTGTGCTTTTCTTCCTTTGTGTCTGATTCACTCTTTTTGTTTTTATTTGATAGAAAATGGGAGGCACTTAACCATTAGCTCAAAGAGAACGGACAAGATTACCCCATCTTCTTCCATAAGATGGGTAGCAAAATGGACTTCCCAATTTGCACTTCCAGAAAAGAGTCCCTTCACTAAAAAAAAAAAAAAAAAGTGGGGGGAGGGCAAAGAAACTAGAAGAAGACTTGTATTTAGTGGTAATACAGTATCAGGCTTAGAAGGGCTCTATTTATATCAGGTATTTAATCCCCACGGTACACCCCCAAATACAGGTAAGGGAAGCTAACAATAAAGAAAAGTTACTTATGTAAAATGTAAGCAGGGGCAAGGAAGAGATGGAACTAGAATGCAGACCCAGATCAGCCTAGCAGCGGATTCCCATACCCTTTTCTACTAGTTTCCTTGATCTCCCTTAAAGTATCTATTAGAAGTCAAAGCTCAGGAGTAGATGTATTTGGTTTTCCTTCTTTTGATATGGGGTGAAGACAGGATAGTGATTTGGCTTGAATCTGCCAGTTGGCTCAGTCCAATCAGCAGTGTTCCTCTAATCCTAACAGTGGCTTTGACCCTCATTAGCTTATAGAACTCCCACACCCCACTTACCTCCCAGCTCAGTCCTCCTACCTCAAAAAGGTGCATCCCCATCTCCAAGATGCACTTCTACTCTGTAAACAAAGTAACTGGAGTACCCACCTCCTGTAAGGCTGTCTGTCTTGGCAAAAGATGACAAAGACATTCTCCAAGTGGAAACGAGCATTGGGCACTTTCTAGGTAAATATAGCAGTGCCTCCATGGTGTGCCAGTTAGGAAAAAAAAAAAAAAGAATGGATTTGGGAGACTTAGGATTAGATTTGAACCTTCCTGTCAGCCCCGATGTCTCTAAGGCTTCAGGCAACCTATTAAAACTCTCCAACTTGGGGCTCCTGGGTGGCTTAGTCAGTTAAGCGTCCAACTTGGGCTCAGGTCGTGATTTCATTGTTTGGGGGTTCCAGCCCTGCACTGGGCTCTCTGCTGTCAGCATAGAGCCCACTTAGGATCCTCTGTCTCTCTTTCCCTCAAAAATAAGCAAACATTAAAAAAAAAAACTGTCTCAACTGCAGAAAGTGGGGAAGTAAGGGGCTATTCATAGGAAGGATTGGATGAAAATGTATATAATGCATTCAAGAGCCTTCTTGGCATGAGTTGGCAATCCAAAATGTTATTATAATCAGGTTGTTTTTAGAGACTTACAGCGGGAAAGTTTAAATGAGAAATTAAACCTGTCCAAGACACTTGTCATTCATTGACACCCATCGGTTTTCAATGACTGTGTTTGGGGGAAGTTTCTTAAGGAGAAAGGATTCCATTTGGAAAGCTTCTCTTATGGAGGGAGAAATTTACAACCATCCATGTCTTCCCCTTGTGTCCGTGTTTCCTCCCGTCTTCCACAGTCCATGTTCTCTGGGTGTCCTTCTTGCCGCTTCTATTCCTGACCCCCATTGTCTCATTTGAATCTTATGCCATTTTCAAAATGATAGAAGCTATGGGCCCTTCCTACTACTGAATAACTTTCGGAGAATCTCATCTCGGCCAGCCCCAAGACCAGTATTCAGCTGGAATAGAGCCTATCATCAAAGGACTTAAATGAAAGAAAAAGTGGCCCCATCTGGAATTAGACTGATAATTATTCATGACCGTCAATTCTCGTGATCTGCGGCAATTGAGTCCTAGAACCCTGCATTGCTTGTTCCTAAGAAATACGAGGCTAAGTTCCCACAAACACCTGGTGAATTTCCATTAACCAATCAACATAGAACCTTGTTCTGTGTTTCCATTTAAAGACGCCTGATTTGAAATATATCGTTGACTCACTAACCTTGAACTCACGGCCAACAGCACCATGGCCCCTGCCGCAACAAAGCTTCTCTAATGCACAGATATTCTTGAGAAGGCGCATCACGGCCTCGTGCTTAGGAACACCAGACAGCGCCTAAGCAGTCTGCTTGGGGGCCATTTTAAATGACAAAGCCACCAATAAGAAGCACAAGAACTGGGCAACATGGCACTAAATAGATAGCACCTGTTGGCAGCATGAGCCTGAGCTAAAATGAGAAGCCAGAGCCTTGTTTTGTTGGGGCTCGACTGGGAATGTGCACATCTGGCGGCTCAAATTTTTTGCCACTCAGGAAAGTTAGCACGTCACCGTAAAGGCGCCACAGGTATTGATTTGGGGGTCACAAACAAAATGCAAGAAGCAGGCAAATTTGCGAACACGGAATCTGCAAATCACGAGGACTGGCTGAATCTAATTAGGAATTCGAACTCCTTGATTTCTCAAGTGAAAATAAATTTTCTCCCAAAAGGCAGTTGGATTTTTTTAGGGGGCAGGCTTTTTCTCTCCTGTCCTGTCTGTTCTTTAAAACCTGTACCTGTCATTTTCTCCATCTGTTTGGCTCATCATGCTCATTTTTATCCGTTAAGGTACGATGAAGAGAGATCTTATAAGAGAAGTGTGAGGTAAAATCTCCTGATCTACAGTTCATGCGGGACCTGCTGTGTGTGTGCACCTGTGTCTCACTCGTGGGTGACCTCAACATGCTACCAGAGCAAGAGGTCATTCTATCTGTCCCTTGTTGCATACCATTCCTGGTCTTTGTCTTGTGTGTAAAGCTGTTGAGGTCAGCCTGATTTTGCAACTGAAACCTACTAAACCAGATTCACCCTTGAGCTCGCCCAGGCTGCAAGCTGTCTCTAACTATACCCGACAGACTGGTGTGGACGTTTTCAGCTTTACTCAGCCAGCATGTTTCTGTTCTCCTTGCACCTTGTGTGTCTACCCATCTTTATGAAGGAATTTGCAACATAAACATGCAGAAACCCCAAATGGGAGGAAACGGCACCATATCGAATTGCAGGAGCGCGTCTCCGTGCTCCAAAGGATGGTTTCTAAAACCACATATGCTCCACTTCTGTTTGGTTCTGCTTTGCTGAGCGACTCTCTCACGCTGTGCTTGCTTCTTTTCTGTTTCTTTTCCACACCGATAATTTTTGCTCGTGCAGACTGGATGAAGAACTGAGAGAAGCGTCAGAAGCAGCTAAGTAAGACTTGGTTTTCATTCGGCGGCTGGCGTGATGTTGGCTTGCATTTCAGGAATGAATTGGGAGAATCTGCATGCCTGGCATTTTTTTCTCGCATCCTGATGAGAATGCTGCACTTTAAAGGGTCCCCTTTGCCCACATTAGATGCAATGTCCGGTATTCGTACTACAATCTACTTTGCCCTGTGATCTTGGTTATCTTAAGGAACACGTTTGTTACTGTCTGGTTTTTTTTTTTTTTTTTGAAATGTACATGCAATTTTAGGCACTGCAGCAAAGGAACACATCACAGGCACCGTCAGCTATAGCATAACATCCAGGTCATTCTTAGATATTTTGAGGCAAGAAAAGCTCATTAATTCATCCAAATAGAGAGAAACGATGACAAGTCAAAATTTGGAAATGTGTTTATGGAACTAATTTCTTGACTTTCCCAGTTTTTTTAAGCACCTTATTTAGTGACTTGGAAATATTGCTCAACTAAGTAGCTTCAGAGCTATTTGGATGAAGAGAAAAAGAATCATTACTCACTATTATTCAAGTATAATGTTTGAAAAGGCAAAATCTTTAACACAAATATGAAATGATATATGCCAATGATTTTATTCAACTAATTACTTAATGATGGAACCAGTAAAGTGTACAAACCAGTTCAAAGAACACTTGCAAAGCTAGATTTCTGTAGGTGATTTATAAAGGAATGTTAGGATAAGATTATTGGTTTAGATGCAAAATGGATCAACACCCATCAGGCAATAAACTATAAATTAGGATTATGTTTTCCACTGGACTGACCTTATTGGCATCTCTGTCCCCCAAAGAGTCATAAAATAGTCCATCAACAGAAAATCAACTCAGCATTGCTTTGAAAGAACATCCCAGTAATTTTCCTTTTACTTCCAAGTTCAAAACATAATTTTTCTGACCCTATATGTCAAATGCAGACAAGTACTATTTGGAATGTTTACTGTATTGAAGCTTCTCTATTTCAAATACTGCCTACACCATTAATATTTATAACTAGTTCCCATTTTAACAGTGCAAAAGCAGAAACTGGGGAATGTCCAAATAGATACAAGTGCTGAATAAATAAGGGTTGGTTTTTTTTCCTGTATAGATGTAAATACCAATTCCCCATGACATCCATCCATTGAGATAATTGTTTTTCCTACAGCACATTTTTATTGTGAGTACTCTGTAGAATTATTTGCCCACAGTGTGGAGCTTTTGAGTTAAAATTTGAGGAAAAGGGGCACCTGGCTGGCTCAGTCGGAAGAGCATACAACTCTTCATCTAAGGGTCTTGAGTTCAAGCCCCACATTGGGCATAGAGCTTACTTTAAAAAAAAAATTAAATAAAATTTGAGGAAAGATTTTTGTCTTAGAAATATCAGCATCGTGTAGTTCAGTGTTAGAATATTCCTACACTGCTTTGGTTTTCTTTCAAGATAACAGACACCCATGTAAGCTAAGAATACTCAAAAGTATTTACATTTCGACTCTGACAGACTCTCCTAAGTCTCTAACTCAACTGTTAGAAACCCGAAGTTGGGAAAGAAAGGAAGATGTTAGGAACCAAGGCACCAGATGTTGACGTAATGTGCCCTGTTACCATTTATCTGTACTCAACTTCCATTGTGTCATGAAATTCCTCGATGACAGAATTTCTCTTTCAGATTCTTTTTTTTTTTTTTTTTTTGGATGATCACATCCTTACGAAATTAAGGAGGTGCTTGCAAGACAAAAGATTGAGGGGAGGGAAATCCGTGACTTTCTGACCAAGCCCATTATGGAGTCCTATTGCCACGTTCTTTCATTATCACGGTTAAAACCTGGCCTTTTTCAATAGACTATCCCACCCCTGCCCCATCCATATTTCTACCCTTCCTGTTTAGCTATCATAGCGAAACTGTTATCATTTGGGGTTTATTGTGTGTCTTACTCCTTTTTTTTTTCTCTCTAATCATTCTTTCCCTTCTCTCCCCTACACCCACAAACGCTCTCCCTAGCTAGCTCAATGGCCTCAGGTGGTCCTGAGATGTCTTGATCTCCTGCATGTATAGTACACAGTAGATGCTCAGGAAATTTCTGCATAAATTGACAAATGGGCGTAAGATTAAGTTGATCTCTGTGGAGCGATGATTCTCAGGCTTTGCTGTGCATCAGAATCACCAGTGCACTGGTTCAAACACGGTACCCTGGGACTCCCCTCTCCCCCATCCCAAGTTTGAGTCAGCAGGCCTGAGAATCTGGAATTCTAACCTGTCCCAGGGACTCCGATGCTGCCTAGCTCAGAACCATGCTCTGAGAATCACCACCTTAAAATAAGTGCCTGAATAGAAAGAACTAGATTTGTTATAGGAGTCTACACTCAGTGGGTAATCTACCTGTCTGAATTCCCCTTCAGCTGACCCTACTTCTCTTGATGGTGACATTACACACTTGTGAGGAATTGAAAAATATTGGCACATTCGAAAAAGTAAGAAGAATTTCACTCTGTTGGCCCCACAGAGGATTGAAATGCCTCTGAATCCTACCATTTCCGCATACTAACTACATCTCCTTAACTACCTTTCAGCCTCTGGAGTGGCTCCCAAATCCTTGGACAGATGGCGTAAGATGATCTGGGGCCCAGAAAACTCGATCACTGCAGATCAGTGGTTGGGCTCTAGAAGCCAGATAACCCAGGTTCATTCTATTAACAGACACACCCTGACTTTGCACATGACCTTTATTAGAAAGCTTCAGGCTAGTTCTAACCAAAGGCAAACCTCTGCCTCGTCAGGGAACAGAACCTATCTGTTGCTTTGCTTTCTTTTCAAACGTTCACCTTCTCCCCACATACTCACACACCGCCTCTTCATTGACTTTCTTCAGCCTGCCTTATGTTTTCCTTAAAACTTGGCATCTGTACAGGAAAGAAAATATTCTCAAAGGACCCATTGGATATAGAGAGCCATTATTATTCTGAAGGTGGTCAAGAATCCAACAGCTGCCTTTGGAGTGACAGTATCCAGTGGCTTGCAAATTGCTGTTTTCGTGGGCAGGATTACGCAAAGTTTAAAAAATAAAAAGGAAAGCTAGATTCAGAAGAATGCCTTTTCTTTTTTTTTTAATTTTTAATGTTTTATTTATTTCTAGGAGAGAGAGAGACAGCGTGAGCAGGGGAGGGTCAGAGAGAAAGGGAGTCACAGACTCTGAAACAGGCTCCAGGCTCTGAGCTGGCAGTCAGCACAGAGCCCGATTCTGGGCTCGAACCCACTAACCGCGAGATCATGACCTAAGCGAAAGTCGGACGCTTAACCGACTAAGCCACCCAGGCTCCCCTAAGAATGCCTTTTCTTGACTCCACTCCAGCTTTGCTAGGTTTTCCTGGCGTACCGTCAACCCCTGCCTTGTTCACATAAGTTGCCAAAATCCTCTGTGAAAATACCTGACCACGGGGGTGCCTCGGGGGCTCAGTCGATTGAGCCTCCCACTCTAGCTCGGGTCATGATCTCACAGTTTGTGAATTCAAGCCCTGTGTCGGGCTCTGTGCTGACAGCTCAGAGCCTGGATCCTGCTTAAGGTTCTGTGTCTCCCTCTATCTCTGCCCTTCCTCTGCATATCTCTCTCTCTCTCTCTCTCTCTCTCTGAAAAATAAATAAACATTAAAAAAAGTTAAAATACCTGACCACCAATGAGCAGGGCGGAGGAGTGGAGGGAAGAAGCCCTCTGCCCTTCCTGGGGAGATAGCCTTCTGGCATCTCAACAAAATGCCTCTGTTAGTAACCAAACCTCTCATGTTCAAGCAGGTATATTAACTTGTGAAATTATTTACATTACAAAAGGAACTCTCCTTTAAAAAGAGTGTAGAATCTCTTTAAATAGTCTGTTTGCCAATAATAAAACATATTTTATTGTTTTCTCCCCAGAGGGGAGAAAGTAAAAGTTGAAATTAATCAAGTTAATATAAAGCACATTTGAAATTCTCTAACAGGAATTTCGCCAATATGGAATATCAAAAGCTAATATCACACCGAAAGCATGAACACATTCATACAGTGGAACAAACCTATTATTTTGTTATTTTACATGGCTACACGTTTTTTCTTTCTGGACACAGTGTAGGTTAATGTTAGGATTCACTTCTGGTACCAGAACAGCTCAGCTGTATTCTAGTAAGCACCTCAGTGTTTCCCTCTAACAAAGAAAGCTGACATTGGCATTTTTTTCTCTTCGTGTCTAGGAAAATCCTCATTCTTGTGCAAACTAAAAGTTAACTGTGTTCACGTGCACATAAAATGGGGCTGCTTAAGAGGGACTGCCACTGTGTATAAAGTATCTGATTTGGGTTACAAATAAAAATTTGCAATATCATGATCTCTGAATAAGATAGATGGAAAAGCCAGGAAATAACAAGGACCGAAGAGACCCCTGGAGTTGTTTGGAATTTCCAACCCTCCTTTTACATTTCTAAATCATGGGCGATTGCTACTTTTTCAAACCGGTGGTAAAAGAATCAGGTGTAGATTTGTTCATTATTAGCAGCGAGACAACATCACACAAGTTTAAAATATTGGAGAGTGCTGTGCTTACAAAGTGGCAAGAGTGGAGAAAATGTTTACTTGCTTCCTATTTTTTTCCCGTTGCACTCAGAACTAGCTGCCTTTACAATGATCCAGAAATGTCTTCTATGGAGAAGGAGTAAGAATTCACCATCAATAACAGCTATGTGGTTACTTGTAGTATTGTATGGCTGGGCTCTGAAGGGGGAAAAAAAAATGCATCAAGGACTGGGTAAACTCCGTTTAGATGTTCAGCTTTCATGTTCTCTATTTCTCAAATCAAACTTAAAGAGAAATGTGCTGGCTTCACCCTGTCTCTTTCATGATCACTAGTACATTCCTTAAGGACAACTGAAGCCTACTTGGCATTCTACTTTCCAATCCAAAAATGAGCAGGAAATGAATATTAGAGTCAGATGTAAGCATTTGGGCAGTAGGAACGCAACTCTGCTTTCTAAGTTACTTCATCTATTTTAATTAGTGAAAGTTGGGACTTCCACTTGAACTTCATGTTTTGGTGGATGGGGGAGTAAATGGCCTTATTTTGAAAATTCCAAGAGGCAATGGAGTCTGGATGGGACTTTAGGAATGATCTCGTCCATCTGGGCTCATCCTGTGACAAATAGAAATTGAACACCTAGTAAGGGTTCACTATGGGGAAAGCCTCATGCACATTATCTGATTTTTATCCTCAGAATAATCCCATGAGGTACATTTTACAGATATGGAAAGAGTGGCATAGAGAGATTGATCTGACCAGCCTGACATTTTACAGTGGTAAAAATGTTCCGCAGCTGGGATTTGATTCTATAGTTGCAAGCCAGTGGTTTTGAAAGCAGAAAGGGGCGGTCATAATTCTCGAATGGGTGTGCAGCCCCTGATCTAACTTTGGTTAGACCAGAAAAGGATAAAATTAGTTGCCTCAGAGAACAGAGTGGACCATTGGCCAAGCAGTTTCAGGGAATGAAGTGTGGTCACCAGCATGTTCCCAGAGGACACCGGGCCATCCAGTTAAGGGCTCCTCATCTGATCTGAGCTGTGGAGAACTTAACACTGGCCTTCCCAGGAACCCAGGAGAGGCGGAGATCGGATCTAAATGTGTCAGCTATTGTCACCTTTCGTTCTCTTTGGACCTCGTTTCCCTCAAGGTCCAAAGCAAGGATGGGACATCATAACGCCATAGCTCTGTAGCTGCCATGTTGACAGTTTACAACTTGGTTACAGTTACAGTTTAAAGTTTAAAGACATTTATGGACACAAACCCCAGAGAGAAGGTCCCCACTAAAGAGTAAAGACCAAACACTGTAAGGGGACCTTTGAAATCACACAGCTATTTTTCAGAAGGTTACGCTTGCCCCGCCTCTTTGAGATGAAGACCGTTGCTTCAAGCAAATTGCCACTCAAAAATTCGTCAAGACAGAGAGTCCCTTAAGCCAGGTTCATTCTTGCTGCAAGTGTTCTCTCAGCAAAACAGCGCCCCCTATGGCAGAGTCCTGGGCCTGCAGCTAACGAGCAGCAGGGAGGAGTTGTCCGTGGCCTATGGCTACAACGTCTGCGGGCTTACCCACTCCTTTGCCTGTCTTGTCTGTTTGGCTCCTTGTTTGTGCCAAGGGCTGGCTAGGGTGGGGAGAGGGCACAGGGGGACAGAGGGGACGGCAAACAAGATGGCGCTGCTCCTTGTTTGTGTTCATTCCAGGGCTGGGCACGGGGGATGGAGGGCTACTGCACAGGTTAATGTTACTCCCCACTTTTTAGAACATATTCTTCTCCTCGCCTCCGTCTTCTTCAGCCCGGTCTTTCCCAGGCACATGATCTCCGTGCAAAGGGTGAGATCCAGGCTGAGGGGCAAGGGTGCCAAGGAGTTCTTATGCTCACGTCTAGGCCTGGATTTCTGGCTTTCGTTAGTATAAGAATCAGGGGCTTTATTTACCTGGGGTTTTTGGTTTGGTTTGGTTTGGTTCCTGCCTGGAAGCATTTTATACCTTCTGTAACTAGTATAGAATGGAGAACCTGAAGAAGGGGAGAAAAGGCTGTTTTCAAGGAGCTCAGTCAAGCCAAGAATCAAATGAAATGCACTCCTCTACTTTTCTTTAGAATAAGAAGGGACAGTTATGCCTCCTGCACCCCGCCCCCCTCTTCTTATATAAAACACAAGAGTTTTTATTCATCATTAAACAATATTGTCAGGTACTTTCTAAGGAACTTCGTCTAACACATGTGAGAAGTCAAAATGGCCTAGAGTAAAATTACCAGAAGATTCCTCACTGGAAAGCTAGTTATAGGAAACTAAGCCCATATGCCCAAAGGTCAGGAAGAATCCTTTTCGTATTTCAATTCTGATTAAAACTAAGTTTGTTTGTTTGTTTGTTTTCCAAAAAGCATACTGTTTTCAAAAGTATCCCCGGGTGCTTGTTTCCTTCACTTCCAAATTGGGATTTATTCATTCATATCCTAAGACTTGCGTATGCTTTTAAAATATTTTTACATAAAAAGTGGATCTGATTCAGGGGAGGTGGTATGTACTTGGGGAGACTTAAATTAGTAGCACTGTTGATAATTTCACTGGCCCCACAAGATAACCGCTGTCTCAAAAATTAATCTTCAGTGTGGTTTCCTTTATTTACTTAAAAGTCCTCCACTTTTGACTATCTCTTCTTCCATAAACGACATCAGTAGGTTTCCATGTTTCAGCTTTTTGTTTACTGAAAGTGGAAGGGAAAAATTAAGCCTTAGAAAGTTTACCAAAAAGTCAGTATGGGGGTGCTTGGCTGGTTCAGTTGGTGAGGTATGGAACTCTGGATCTCGGGATCACGAGTTCAAGCCCCCCATTGGGTGTAGAGATTACTTAAAAATAAAATCTTTAGGGGTACCTAGGTGGCTCAGTCAGTTAAGCGTCCGACTTCAGCTCAGGTCATGATCTTGTGAGTTTGAGCCTTGGGTCGGGCTCTGTGCTGACAGCTCAGAGCCTGGAGCCTGCTTTGGATTCTGTGTCTCCCTCTCTCTTCTGCCCTTCCTCTGCTCACCCTCTGTCTCTCTTTCTCAAAAATAAACATTTAAAAAACTTTTTTTAAAATTTTTATTTATTTCTAGGAGAGAGAGAGACAGCGTGAGCAGGGGAGGGTCAGAGAGAGAGGGAGTCACAGACTCTGAAACAGGCCTCAGGCTCTGAGCTGGCAGTCAGCACAGAGCCCGACGTGGGGCTCGACCCCACGAACCGCAAGATCATGACCCAAGCGAAAGTCGGACGCTTAACCGACTAAGCCACCTAGGCGCCCCTTAAAAAACTTTTTAAATAAAAATAAATAAAATCTTTTCTTTAAAAAGTCAATATGAAAATGAGGTGTTTCAGAATGGGCATCTTAGTGTAAGGTTTTTTGTGTTTTTTCAGATTTTTATCAGGGCTCATTTAAAAAAGATCCTGAGCTACTTCTATTTTGCCACGACTACTAAAGTTACCACTCCTAATACTACTTACAACTGAAAACACTTGAGACTTCCTCCTTAGCCTCGAGCCATCCATTCATCTGCCTCCAGAGAGACAGGATTGATCTATTTTACAGATTCAGAAATGGAACATTCTGGAAGACAGGGGAGTCGGCCAAATCCGAAGCTAATAAGCAGTAGAACGGAGGGCCCGTCAAAGGAAAGCTGTTTTACCCCCTAAATGAGATAGGCAAGCACGAGGGTTACCAGTGGCTCTATTTGCAAAGCCACTAGAAGGATTTCCCCCCCCCCCCCCCCCCCCCCAAGCTGGACACATCCCACCAGCAAGCCGAAGCCACCTGTGCGGCGTGCAGAGGGCAGGGCCGGGCCGGCAGGTCTAAGTGACACCCATTCCCAAATGGCCTTTTTCAAACGGCGTTTTCCTTTGCTCGTGGCTGAGATTCCTCTTCTGAGCCTGCAGACTGGAGCTGTGTTGCCTGGTGGGTGCCAGAAAGTTGCAATGGGTTCACTACAAGGTGGAAGAGAGAAACAAGTGGCCCAAGGAGGTTTAGGAATGATTTTCTAGGTAGTTGGGAACCCACTAGACCTTAAAAACAACCTTTTCTTCAGATGTAAGAAACCATCTCATTCAGGTAAACTGAGGCCTGTCATGCAAATTCTTTGGCTCTGGAAACCATTGGTTCCTTTTGGGGGGAGGAGAGAGGTTTTTTTCCTATTTCATTGTTGACTTGTATGTGGCATTTATCAGATGTTGCTTGTTTCAGGCAGATCATGTATTTGCCCCACGGAAAGGTCATTGACTAGAAACAGGCAGTCCTCTTACTCCCAAAATGTAACAATCTTCCTTAATCGACTTCAGAAAAGAGCCCTCACACTCATCTTTTGCCTCCCTAGCTCGTTTCAAGAGGCGTAAAATGCTTCCAGAAACCGTTTTGTAAAAAAAAAAAAAAATCGACATTTTAGAGAAAACCTTGACAATGAGGGAGGGTTGGGTTTTACTAGCTTAAGAAACTTGCATGATTTCAATAAGTCCTGGGGGGGGGGGGTGGTGGGAAGCAAAACACATGCCAGTTCCAGCCACCACTAAATGGTTCCTATTCAATTTCTCTTGTTTCTCACTGTTCTCTTTCTTTCTTTCTTTTTTTTTTTTTCCCCTAAGTATTGACCTGAAGCTAAAAGGAAAGCCCTAGTTGGCCCCCCCGGCTGGAAGAAAAGAATGTTCTTCTGCTTCATGATTCTGCTGAAACATATCTACCTGAAAGAGACAGGGCTGATGGTACTCTTTTCCACTTTGCACTACCTGGTGCCATTCTAAATTTCTAAGGGGAAACACAGTACGGGAATTTGTTTACTCTTAACGTATTTTATGAAATCGTGTGTATTTTCCTATTTTGCCAATTATGTGCCTCAAAGATTTCAGTTGAACCTTAGCCAGAACATAGGACCTTCCATCTCAATATTGTGTTAGCCCCTGGTACAGTGGTAGCTCGTATCTCTTAGACTGCTGTTCACCCATAAGATCCCTTCCGTCCGCTGTTCCTCACAAGTGGATTTGTTTCCATAGATGAGCTGGATTTCTCCTTGGTGATCATTTTAGGTTTAGACACTGAGTGCTCGACTCTCCCTAGGCAAGTTACCTTTTTGTAACTCTGCCTTTCCAACCCTAAACTTGCTTAGCAGAGCTGTAAAGTAGACACAGTATGAAGCCACCATCAGCCGAGTGCCCACTTGGTTCATGTCTCTGTGAATCGTCTCAAAGGGAAGCCAGGCTTTCTAATTCACCTCAGTTGTATTTTAGTTATCAAACTGGGTACCATGTTGTCCGTGAACTGGTCTTTTTAAAAACCATTCTTTCTCCAATGAATGTTGAAGACCGCCATGCTGAGAGACGGAAGGAACAGTGTCGCCATTTTTTTTTTGGTAGCTCTCTGCGCCTCATGCTGTAAACTTGGTTCAAGATGTTACATTTTAAGTGCCTAGGACTCCAGTGTAAGGTGGCCCACCCCAAACTTCATTACTTGGTAATGTTCATTTGTCTAACTTTCTCTCTCAAAAAGTAATCGGCTTTAAATCCCTTTAATCTGATCGCTTTAATCACCTCGCTTTAAGTCATCATATTTAACTTAAGTATGAGTATGTACTGTCATCTGCAAAATCCCCCTGCGGAACCTTCGTGCACCCTTTCAGATGCCAACGAGATCTCGAATCTGTGGGCCTCCAGAAGAAGGATTGGCAAAGCTAAGGCCAAACTTCGCACGCCACCTGTTTTCACCCGGCCTGCTTGCGAAGAATGGCTTTCCCGTTGGGCTGGGGGAGAAAAGCTTTTTAAAAAATATTTCTTGACACATGAAAATTATTCACATTTTGGGATCCATTAAGTGTTTTGTTGAAACATGGCCACACAAATCTGTTTACAAACTCTCCGTGGCTACTTCAGCCCTACAGCGGCAGGGTTGAAACCAGTAACGCACCGTGTGGCGTTCACAGCCTAAAATATTTACTATCTTTGTAGAGAAAGTTTGCTGGGCCCTGACTGCTCCTGCACACCTAGTCTTAACCCCCTCCCCTCCAGTTTGGATCTGGATATTTGTTTCTTCAGCAGAATATATAAATAAGCCTGCAAGCTAATTTATTCTTTAAAAAGAATACGTTGGCCTCCAGAGTCCGTAAAAGAAATGGGCTGCTGAAGAAGATGGGGAGTCCTAGCCACAAAGCCTGGCTTACAGCATGTTTACTGACCCATAGTGAGGCCTGCTAGACGGCTTTGGGCTTTTGACAGGTGTTGCCAAGGTCCTGAACTATGAACTTACTCTGGGAACTATTGTTCTTCTCCGCTATTACCTGTTACTGATACGCGAGCAACGATAAAAGTAGAGTGGAGCCTGGCCTTCCACCACAGGCTTAGGGTGATAACTACATCCAGGAGGGCTGTCTGGGGTGCTTTGAGCCCTGGATATCAGGAGCTCCGAAACACTTAGATGTAGACATCATTGTACAGGTGACCGAACTTTACTGACCTCATTCGCTTCATGTCTGTCTCCCACCCACCTTCCAGACGTGTTCTCATACACGCAGGTCAGCTCTCTTTCCTCCGCAAGCCATGGTTAACTGAGATCCCCCTCTGTGTCCCTTTCGGCTGAGCGTCTTGTCCAACTGTGTTCTTTTGGGCCACCTCCCTCCTAACCTCTGTCCTGCCCGATAGAAAAACCCTAGAACACACCCTCTCTCTCAGGCCAGCTCCACTTTTGGAAGCCCAAATTATGCCTCTCCCTGAGCTTACTGCTGACATAAGACCAGTGACCTAATATTCGGTTGGGTCACCCATTGACCGCCGTCGCTCTGGCACGGTTATTAACAATGCTCCCTTTTGCTCAGCCGTGGTCCCATTTTGGGAGACCAATTACATGGGCCCCCCTAGCCGCAGGAAGGAATGAAGAAAGCAGTGTTGTGTTCAGTGTGCAAGCCTGAGGACCTACTGCTGATAGAGGACTCTTGTTCTATCCAACCAGACACGGCAAGAATTTCACCATTCACGTTTCCCTCGAACTTGTCTAGCCTGTTCATGGAAACCTACTCAGGCGGTATTCTGTTTGAAGCTTCATCTTCCTACATGGAAATTATGAGCATCTTTCCAGTCTCATTTTCACTTGGGCTGTTCTATGGGCTACATAACCATTCTGATAGGCATCTGCTGTTTTATTATCTTAAAAAGACCATTTAATTGCACGTGCTAGAGAAAAGCCACCGTGTAAATTGAATCTAAGTAAATAGAATTCTAGAGGAATCCTGAGGAAAAAAAAAAATCCTCCCTAAGCAGATAGGTAGACAGATGTAAACATTCACATCAGTAGCCTTCTAGCTTCTGCATTCTGAGCATTCTCGCTTTGGTTCTGACTTCTGGGAACTGTTTTACACTTTTCCTGTAGGATCGTAGTTAAGAGAACTGAAGGGTCACGGGGCAAAAGTATTGTTTTCCCAAAGTGGCCCTGCTCTTTGCCTAGTTCCTTGATTAGGAAAGAGAACATAAATCTGCACTGAAGTTTCTGTCAGAGTGAGAAAGTTTGCTGGAGGGCAATCAATAGCTGGGTGTGGAAAAAATCCTGAGGGCCTTACTGAAGCCATACAGTGTGTTATGGAGTTACCTTCTAAGCCACACTCCGATATGTGTGAGGAAGTCACTACACTAAGCTTTTGTGTTATCAAGATCTCATTTTAAGTATCTGGTTACGGTACTACATTTGCAACTCATCTAATCACAATGCCTCAGTAGTTTGCTCCCTTAGAAACATTTAGATGTGCACAATTAATCTTTTCTATATTTGAAAGTTTTTCTACCATGTATTGGATTGCTCAGAATAAAGTGTCTATTAGACTTTGGTAAATAACTGATTTCTCCCTAAATAGCGTGGATTAATAATATAAAGATATGTAACAACACCATATAAAAATATCTATATAGCCTCTCTGTATAATTCAGAAATAAAAATTGATTCCACAAGTTATGGACTTTCTTTTCTCTGTTCATCGAGAATCTTTCTCTAGCTTCACTTGTGCAAAAGAGTTCTATGGCTCTCAGAGTAGCTCGGCACTTGGCACTAATTTTGGCTTTCTGGTCACCCAAATGTATTTATTCCCTTTTCATTTTTGCCTTCCATGTCTCAGTGACCTAAGCTTTCAAAATGTGTTGTTTAGCCTTTGGGGAAGCAGTGTCTCACATTGGACACATCTCCGTGTTTCACGATTACTTGATTTTTGTCAACTTCTTTCTCTGCTCTTTGCTTTTGGCAGCATTTATTTCTTTTAACATCAAAATACATTAATGGCATTTTCTTTTTAGTTTGGGGTTCTCCCCCCCCCACCACCACCACCACCACCTTCCCACTTCTACAGCCTTCAGGCAAAACCAGACTTGGGAATTAATCACTGTACTTAAGAGAGAGAGAGAATCTAATAAACAAATCTGTGCCCGCACCTCTCGGAAAGTGGTGGGAGTATTCAGATGAGAAGCTGTTCTACAGAAAGTGAGACCCTGCACATTCTCATGATTTAGGAATGAGTCCTGGCGGATATTGTCTTCTACCCAATAAAGGTAAGAAGGACAGGAGAAGACTGAGAAGTGATTATGGTCAAACGAAGGGCATCATACCGCAAGGTAAAATGTTACATGCATTCTCCCACCTTTCTCTAACTATGGTGGTGGGAACTGGAGGCAGGCTAGGAATCCAGAACTAGGGGAGAGAATGGGTAGAATGTGTTAGATACACCTGGTGGCAAATTATACAGCTGTTAGAAGTAACCAACTACGGGAGCCTGGCTGGCTTAGTCAGTAGAACGTGTGACTCTTGACCTTGGGGTTGTGAATTCAAGCCCCAAGTTGGGTGTAGAGATTGCTTAAAAAGATCATCTTTTGTTTTTTAATGTTTATTTTTGAGAGAGAGAGAGAGCAGGGGAGGTGCAGAGAGAAAGAGAGAGACAGAATCTGTAGCAGGCTCCAGGCTCTGAGCTGTCAGCACAAAGCCCGACGCCGGACCCGGACTCAAGCACCTCAAGATCATGACCTGAGCCTAAGTCAGATGCTTAACCAACTGAGCCACCCAAGCACCCCTTAAAAAGAAAATCTTAAAACAACAACAACAAACTACATATTCATAAGAGCATCACTTATAAGTAGAGTGGAAAAGGAAGAAAAACTCAATAAAACTTCGTGTCATTTATATAACGTCTAAACCTATACATGCATACACCAGGGCTACCTATTTTGCAAAATCCATGCATGTGTAAGGACTTCGCACACTCATTAGTTACAGTAGGGGTCAGGACCAGGGATCCAGGATGTAATTGGGAGTTAATTGAAAAGCCAAAATCAAAAAGAATATGGGCTGAAGTTAAAAGGAAGGGAAATAGATATGTTCAACTTTCGGCCAAGAGCCTAGAAGAGCTGTGTCCAGGCCCTTTGGGGGTCCCAAAGGGTCGTTTCCTTGACAGCATCTGTAGTTCTACCATTTCCCTGTGTTGGCAGCAATAGTGTCCTGCATCTTGCAAAAAGCCACCCTGGGTCCCATCCCCCTGGACAGTCACGAAGGGTTCAATTAAGCTGGAACCCTTTGGTTGTACCTACCAATCCTCACACTGCTGTGGGCGTCCCAGAGCAGAGATGGCTTTATGAGGCGAACTTTCCTCATAATAAGTTTCCCTCCCATTCATCCAAAAGAGCTCCCTTTGACCAGGCACAATTACTGTTTTTCTTTTTTTTCTTTTTATTTATTTTTTTAAAACTATTTTTTAATTTACATCCAACTTAGCATATGGTGCAACAATGGTTTCAGGAGTAGATTCCTTACTTCCCCTCACCCATTTAGCCCATCCCCCCCCACACACCCCCTCCGGCAACCCTTTGCTTGTTCTCCATATTTAAGAGTCTCTTATGTTTTTCTCCCCCTCCCTGTTTTTATATTACTTTTGCTTCCCTTCCCTTATGTTCATCTGTTTTATATCTTAAAGTTCTCATGGGATGAAGTCATATAATATTTGTCTTTCTCTGACTAATTTCGTTTAGCATAATACCTTCTAGTTCCATCCACGTAGTTGCAAATGGCAAGATTTCATTCCTTTTAATTGCCGAGTAACAAACACTCCATTGTATATATACACCACATCTTTTTGTTCCATTCATCCATTGATAGACATGTGGGCTCTTTCCATACTTTGACTATTGTTGATAGTGCTGCTGTAAATATTGGGGTGCATGTGCCCCTTCGAAACAGCACGCCTGTATCCCTTGGATAAATTCCTAGTAGTGCAATTGCTGGGTCGTATGGTACTTCTACTTTCAATTTTTTGGGGAAGTTCCATGCTGTTTTCCACAGTGGCTGCCTCAGTTTGCATCCCCACCAGCAGTGCCAAAGAGATCCTCTTTCTCTGCACCCTCATCAACATCTGCTGTTGCCTGAGTTGTTAATGTTAGCCATTCTGACAGGTGTGAGGTAGTATCTCCTTGTGGTTTTGGCCTGTATTTCCCTGACGATAGGTGATGTTCAGCATTTTTTCATGTGTCAGTTAGCCATCTGGGTGTCGTCTTTGGAGAAGTGTCTATTCATGTCTTTTGCCCATTTCTTCACTGGATTATTTGTTTTTCTGGTGTTAAGTTTGATAACTTCTTTATAGGTTTTGGATACTAATCTTTATCTGACATGTCACTTGCAAATATCTTCTCCCTTTCCGTCAGTTGCCTTTTAGTTTTGCCGATTGTTTCTTTGGCTGTGCAGAAGCTTTTTATCTTGATGAGGTCCCAATAGTTCATTTTTGCTTTGGTTTCCCTTGCCTCTGGAGACGTGTTGAGTAAAAAGTTGCTGCAGCCAAGGTCAAAGAGGTCTTTGCCTGCTTCCTTCCTGAGGATTTTGATGACTTCCTACCTGACGTGTAGGTCTTTCATCAATTTTGAGATTATTTTTGTGTATGGTGTAAGAAAGTGATCCAGGTTCATTCTTCATGTCACTGTCCAGTTTTCCCAGCACCACTTGCTGGACAGACTGTCTTTATTCCACTGGATATTCTTTCCTGCTTTGTCTAAGATTAGTTGGCCATACATTTTTAGGTCCGTTTCTGGGTTCTCTATTCTGTTCCATTGATCTGCGTGTCTGATCTGTGTGTCTGATTTAGTGCCAACTGCTTTTGGATCTATGACCATTTGAATGATACTTAGATGGCAGGTCTAATAACTGCCAGCTACTGTCTGTCTACCTTACCCCCTGGAAGATGCCTGTACCCTCAATGCTTGGTCATGCGCTCCTTATGAAAGCCTGCCTCCTTAGATTGATGAACTGACTTCCCATTTCCCCCTGTAGTCGCTCTCTATTGCTACAAAACAAATTCTTGTTGATTATCCTTATTTGAGGTAGTTCTGTCCTATAAAGTCACCGAGAAGAACGCTGAATTAGCAAATGCTGATCTATTGTTCCTCTGTTACAGGGTTAGATTCCTGTAAGCCTCTGATCACGTGGTTTCCATGAACTGATCAATAGGTAACACATAACCTATTTAATGTGTGTTTCTGGTTAAATATATTTTAATATGTATTGTTGATTCATTAAGACTGAATTCACTGCCAACAGCCTGAATATAAGTCATGCCTGAGTGAAGCTTATCTTGTACATGAATTTTCTCCATAAGGAGAAACGCGTGCTTACGAACACTAGCTCTTCTGCTCTCTGCTTGGAGACCATGTTAAACAGTGAAATCACCAGGGTGCCTGGGTGGCTCAGTCAGTTAAGCGTATGACTTTAGTTCAGGTCATGACTTCTGTTCAGGTCATGATCTCATGGTTTGTGGGTTGGAACCCCGCACTCGGCTCTGTGCTGACAGCTCAAAACCTGGAGCCTACTTTGAATTCTGTCTCCCTCTCTCTCTGCCCCTCCCCCACTTGCATGTGTGCTCTCTCTCAAAATTAGAAGTTAAAAAAACACTTAAAAATTTAAAAAAATAAACAGTGAAATCCCCAACAAAAATTACAAAAATGCAAAAAGAAACATGGCACTAAATTGACCATAAAAAGAACACTTATTCACTGTAGGAGACCAGAATACGAAGCAGAACCTTGCCACGTTTGACCTCAGCTAGGAAGGTACACATTAGGCAACTGAAAGTTTTCACTATTCTGCACATGTCCCCAAGTGACCATGAAAGTTCCATGAGTGTTGATTTTGAGGTTACAAATAAATCTTAGTGAGTAGGTGAATTTGCAGAGTGGAATCCTTGAATAATGAACATCAACTGTATGCCAAAGTTCAGCGACCTAAAATAAGATGCATTATTATTTCAGTTTCTGTGGGTTAGAAATCTAGACACATCCTAGCTGGTCCTCCATGTCTAGGTCTCACAGGTTGCAATCACAGTGTGGGCCCAAGACTCAGGCAAGCTCCAACTGGGACAGAATCTTCCAACTTCATTCACATGGTTGTTGGCAGTGTTCAGGTTCAACGAGGTTGTTGGGCTAAGGGCTTTATCCCTTGATGGCTGTTAACTAGACATGCCCTTAGTTCTTTGACTCATGGGCCTCTCCAATATGGCAGCTTGTTTCATCAAAACCAACAAGAAAGGGTCTGCCAGCAAGATGGAAGTTACCATTGCTTGTAACCTCATCACCAAAGTGATATCTTGTCACTTTTGCTGTATTCTCTTGGTTAGAAGCCAGTTGCTAGATCCGGCCCACACTCAAGAGGAGAGCATTACACAAGGGTGTGAATCCTAAGAGCTGGGATCATTGGATACCATCTTAATAGTTGCCCTATGAGACCCCCGAAGCCTTCTACAAATGCCTCTTTGACCTCCTATATCTCTTCTCATCTGTAAGTAATGATATTTCTCAATATTTCTCTCTTCTTCCTTTTTTTCTGCCATCTTCCCATGACTTTAAATAGCACATCCCTTCAGATTATTCAAATCTTGGTTTCAGTCCCAACCTCCAATCCCCTACCATCATTTTCTCACTCAGTCTCTGTT